GAATAGGTGCAGTAATCAATCTTCTTTTCAACTCTTCAAACGCTTCCTGACAGACAGAGCTCCATTCGAACTGTCCGGCACGGCGCTTTTCCGTGAGTTGATGAAGAGGTTTGGCTATACTAGCAAAACCTTCAACAAAACGTCTGTAGTAGGATGCAAGACCAAGAAAACTTCTAACTTCCGTCACATTCTTCGGCGTCGGCCATGTTTTTACAGTCTCGACCTTCTCTGGCTGTGTTGAGACTCCCTTGCTTGATACTTCGTGTCCGAGATAGGACACCTTCTTCCTGAACAGAAAGCATTTCTTTGGTTTTAACTTTAAGTTGGCTTGTCGTAGTCTATAGAATACTTGACGTAACCGTGAAAGTTCCTCTGGTATCGATTTACCAAAGATAATCAAATCATCTAAGTAGACAAGTAATGTCTCCCAATGCAATCCGGTTAGTACTTTATCCATCAATCTCTCAAAAGTGGCTGGGGCGTTACAAAGTCCAAAAGGCATCACGTTCCATGAGTAGAGTCCACCATCAGCTACGAAAGCTGATTTTTCCTTAGCATCTTTGCTTAAGCCTACTTGCCAGTATCCACTTGCCAAGTCCAGGGTTGAAAACCACTGCGCTCCTGACAAAGCATCCAATGTTTCGTCTATACGAGGTAGGGGGTAGGCGTCCTTGATCGTGGCAGCATTCAGTTGCCGATAATCCACGCAAAATCTCTGAGTTCCGTCCTTTTTCTTTACGAGTACAATGTTTGAAGCCCATGGACTATCAGTTGGTTCAATAAGACCTTTCTGTAGTAGCCCTTCCACTTGCTCCTTGATTTCGTCTCTCTGCCCAAAAGGGTGCTTGCGTGGTCGTTGTCTAATTGGTCGCTGAGTTCCAGTATCTATCTTGTGTTGTACCAAATTAGTCCTTCCAATATCATCATCTCCTCTTGAGAATACATCCTGAAATTCCGTCAATAACTTTGCCACGTCTTGGCGATACTGATCTGGTATTCCTTCTGTACTTCTCTTTAGCAAATCCCTCAAATGTTCCGGAACTTTTCCATCACCAACAGTGGTGTACTTGGGGACTTCTTGTACTTCACTTGTATCTATTACGGTCATCATAGCGATTGGTGTGTTCTTCTTTATTACTTTGTTGGAAGTAGATGGGTTGAATACTCTAACAGGCACTAACTCCTCCCCTGTCTTGATTAGAGTTCTAGCTGTAATGAGTCCTTTCTTCACTAATTGTTGTTGAACATTTCCAGCCTCTATTAAACCTAGGGTGTTAGATTTAATTCGATCTCCTTCCTTCATTGATCCAAGTATTACAGCTTCATGTCCTGCGGGAATTGTAGTAGTTTCTGACGCAGTTATGCGGCAGGATAGTCTTTCTCCACTTTCATTCTTGCACTCTACTTTGCCCCATTTTGTGGTGAGTTGGAAATTAGTCAGATCAATGCTAGCCCCCATTCTTGTTAGATTGTCCAAGCCGAGGATTCCATCACTACTCACATCTGCTACCAAAACTGTAATTACTCCTTTATTTGGTCCTATCTTCATCTCATGAGTTATTGCTCCATAAATGGCTAATGGTGAACCATCTGCTAACTGTGCACTTATGCAACGATGTTGCAGAGGGGGTCTATCTTTTTCATCTAATTGTTCATATGATCGTCTAGAAATGTAAGAATCTGAAGCACCAGTATCAACTAGAAATTTGTATTCCTTGTCCTGAATGTGCACTGGAACATAAAGACCATCAACATTTTGATTTATACTGGGTATGAAACTTGTCTTTGTTTTGCTAGTTTGGGTCTCAATTAATTTTGGACGATTGGCCGCGCCACGACCCTTTGGGGCGACCACTTGTCGTTTGACTGACGCTGATATCTTTGTCTTGACCAGTTAGATTCACCACTTGGATAGTTCCTTCCTCTTCGATCCATTTGTTTCTCACGGCATTCCCTTGCGAAATGGCCAGGTTTCTCACAATAGAAACATGTTTGGGTTTTCACATCAAATCTTCCTTGCGCTGTTTGGCTTGGTCTTTGATTAGTTCCTGGTTTCTTCACATATCCCTGACATCTTTCCTTGTTAGGTTGACTTTCCATAGCTTGGCCTAGGACTTTGTTGACTTCATCTTTGATCATCTTCTCTAGATCCACTTCAGAGCCGATTCCTCTATTGTAAGGAGGCTTAACCTTCCATCCATTCCTCTCAGTCTCCGTCTGTAGAAATGTCTCAGTGGTTATTGCTGCTTGAATTACCTCATCTAAGCTTGTTGCCTTAGCATGAAATATTCCCATACGAATCTCACTACTACGAATAGCATCAGTAAAATGAATCCTAGCTAGTCTATCGACCCCTTGACTTTCAAAGTTTGGATATGCCTTATCAGTTAGTTCCCTAATATGACGTCCTAGTTCCTGAAGTGATTCTCCTTGACGTCGCTTACGATTCCTAAGTTCCAACAAATAGCTTTCCGCCTGTTTGGCAGAAGAGAACCTGAATGACAGTTTACTCTTTATTTCTTCAAAGTTCCACTTGGTGCCTCTTTGTTCTTCAAGTAACCTCAGAGCTTGACCTCTCAAGCTAGCAGCTAGATACTTGGCAGATTCCTCATCTTTCCAGTTGTTGATTCCGCAACAAGATTCAAAGTGCGAGGCGTATTCTTTCCAGTCGGTACTTCCATCATACTTGTCCGGCATGATCAGTGGTCGATGAGTAGTTTCCCGAATTCTATCTTCTTTGGCATGGCGAATATCATCATTCCTCTTTTGTGCTTTCATCTGGTTAGTTTCTTCCTTATGTTTCCTCGTCTTTGATTCATCGACATGAGATATTCCTTCCTCGTCTCTATTTTGGATTTCCATTCCTAATTCCGGTCGTCTATTTGGTTTGAAGTTGAATTCCACTTCATCATCTGAAGAATCAGATAGTTCTTCCGTGGAGGAGTCTGGGCCAACAGTCCTCTTCCTTGGTTTCTTTGTCAACTTCATCATTTGCCCCATTAACTTCGTTAGTTGACTTAATATCCGACTTTGTAATTTCTCTGACCTACTCTTCTTTTTCTTTGAACTTTTTGTACTAGACATTGTCTCATCTGAGGAGCAACTTAGCTCATCTATTTCTTTCTTAGACTCTGGTACCTCCGCCATATTAATAATCCCACTTCTGACACCAAATTTGTGGCGGCCGCCCCCGCCTCCGTCTCCAACCTCGACCTCTACGTCGGGATTATTCTCATTCCCAGCTGGGGAAACTGATTCTTTATATCTGTCAGGATATTCGTCAGCCGACATTATTTATAATGCATGTCCGAGCGGTTAGAGTAATTAGATCTTATCTTTTATTTGAGGAAAGACGGGGGAAGCTACAATACTTATTTACGTTCGTTTCGTCGAAATATACGACTTATGACGGAGTACCAGTCAAGAAGAAAGACAAAGTGTTTATAGACTCATAGTTTCAGTTTTAAGACAAAAGAAAATGGTCAATTTTTATTAATGCATGTACTTCAAATATTTACAACATCTTTATATCACCACTGTCACAAATACCTTGTGCTCATAGTTATACTTAATGAATTTATACGATTGTCGTTATTATATTCGGATACATGTAATAAAGTAAATTAAGGCAATGATTCATTGGGATTTATGGGACTTGGGAGTTTTCCTCTTAGTTTAATTCCATAGCGTCATAGGGGGAGAGGTGGACTTAGAATATTCCTGCATCTTAATAATAGTGGTTCATTAATTCCAGCATCTTAATTCCAGCGTAGACTTCCTTGTGTACCTTTATATTCCAGGGAGGGAGAGAGATCTTATGTGTGGTACCAGTTCCGACGAGCGCCCAATTCCAAGACAAGTCCTTAGGTGGGGGGGGGGGGGGGGGGGGGAATTTCCAGGGAGAGACTAATAGTTCTGATTCCGACGAGCGTCCAATTCCAACTCCTCGCGTTTTAGAAATGTTACGGGTTATAAAGGCATAATGCGGACGTGGGGGAAATCGGTGCGCTAAGCGATCTTGGAAAGTACGCGCGCAGCGAAAATGGACTTAACATGAAGACTGTGCTAGTTCAGAGCAAAATATCTAAGTAAATCTCTTATTTTACCATTAATTAAATACAACACTCTGAATGACCTAGTTGCAGTAAATATTAACAAGTTACATTGTCTAAACAACTTTCCATCCAAATTCATGTGATAGATTGATAAACAATTACAGTATAACATCTTAAAGCATCTCAATAATGGATCCAAATGTCAATCGCTCGTATGCAAATTATTAACGTAAACATTGTGCGTCGGTGTATGATGACGCGCTTGAAAACAACAATCATTTAAGTTAGGCCTCTTTGTTACGTCACGACCGCGGAGCGGATCGTTACAGTATAATCATAATGAATCCCAGTGATCACACTAATTCTGATTTAATTTTTTGTTGATGGAATGTGTTAAGTCCACACAGGTGCGTACGCTGGATTTTTTGAAGGGGGGGGGGGGTTTTAACAACATTTATAAATTGGGCTGAAAATTTCGCAACGACTCAGCCAGCCGCTGAATAAGCGGGGGGGGGGGTAAGAGGACACTTTTTTTTTGGTTTTTGGTCTCGAAATTTGAAAATTTGACATTTTGCTCCGTTGGGGGGGGGGGGGTGGGTAAGGTCACCTTTTTAGGTCAGCCAAAAAAAAAAAAAAAAAAAAATCCAAAGGGGGGGGGGGGTAGTTTGGGGGGGGGGTGATGGGGGGGTTTACACACATAAAAAATACCAAAGGGGGGGAGTCCACAGCAAATTTTTGAAGGGGTTCTTTTCTACCCTTACGTTTATAGATACACCAATGTATTTTATACTTAGCTTTAATTATAACAAAAAAACAAAAAATACAACTTTGTCCGTGATCGTTGCGATCAACACGCTTGTCAAATTGGCTATCAGCAAATAGCTGATAGGAACTGTCGTATAGGTTCGTTTTATTTGTTGACAGCTCAGACAGACTGCACTGTGGCTAAGTTCTAGTTCTAAATACTTCATTCAACTTCTTGTAATAGCTTGATGCTACCGAGCTGATCTACATATCAGATAAATCTGCCAGCTGACATACAACGTTTACACGGAGGTAATATTTCCCAAAACATATTAGAACCATTAGTATGATTACTATAATTCCTTTTGTTTGTTGTGACTTTGAAGTTCAGCTGTGATACTGCTCGCCGGGTACTTGCGATCGCGATCGTATGCGCGGAAGTGAGTAGCCGAATTGTCGTCTGCTAGATTCAAGTACTAATATAGAATTCAATATTCTTTGTTTTTAACGTGTCATAAGGATGAAAATCAAACGTGTCAGAGAAATTCAGTTAACATCAAATACATCCTCAGTGTTTTTAGAAATTGTATATGCCTGCCAATCTGGCAGCGCAGCACACAGCTGATATAAAAACTACAAAACTAAAAAAAGTAGAGACTCTAGTCTAAGTTAGACCTAGTCTCTAGATCTACGTCTAGATCTAGTAGTAGATTTCTAGTATACGTGTTGTTTTTTTTGTGCGTGTCCCTTAGGCTAAGGCCTTATTAAATTTTAACTTAAAGACTGATTAGTATTATGATCTTTTATAGCATTTTTTGTTTGTCATTTCTAATTTTTTGAAATAAATAATTACAAGAATATTGCATAGAAGTAAAACTTATCTAAATTAGATCTAGATTAGATCACCACAAGAATGTGTCTCAAAAAATGCAGTTTACTTTAGCCTTTACACATAGAACTTAAGCTTACCGGTACATTGATTTAGCGCATGCGCAAATCGTTCATCCGATCTCGGCGAATTGCAGTCTCATTTTACTAGATTGGCGCCGACAAGGACCCTTCTCTTTGGCTATCGTTTTCTTCCATTCACTCAATTTGTGCGAGGAGCAAGCCTGCGATTTTTCTTCTTTTTTTTATACCAAAATTATGATATTTCAGTCAAACCCTCTATTTGTTACAATTTTTTTCAGCATCCTTAAAAGGTTAAGTTTAAGTCTTACATAACTATTTGTAAAGTTTGAACAATTCTTTTCGTCATATTTAAGGTAGACTACAAACTGGAAATTTATTCAAACATGTTTGTTGATTTTTTTATTTTATGTGTGTGCAATTTCATGTGTGCGTCTGTTATGTGTGAAGTGCGTCACCTGTTTAAAGCATGATATGTCAAATAATAATACGTATTGACATTGCCATTGTACTTAAGTTGCGCTTAAGTTAAGTAGGCTCTCTCTCACTTAAATTCGAAGCCACTTGGGCGGATCTGCCAATGACAACGCGTAAACTCACAGAACAGCGCTCAATGCGCAAAGTTCTTTGTGCTTTAATAAGTTCTCTTGAATTAATGCATATAATTACGGTATGTAAAGATAAAGTGAGCTAAAAAATATCATATTTATCAGCAGATGAACTATCAAATGTAAGACTTTGTCAAGACAGACAGATTTGTTTGCTTCAAGGATTAAAAAAAAACATAAATGTGTCTTTTGATGCAGAGGAGTTCAGTGACGCCAGACATAGTCTGAGTGGAACATATTCCTGAATGAATTTTTTTTTTTTTTTTTTTTTTTTTTGGGGGGGGTCTAAGATTTTGTAATCAAGTTGAAAAAAGAGGTGTATCAATGCTTTTCTGCATTTATTTATCATGTAGGCAAACAAAGCAGGGGGTGGGGGATGCAACCCCTTCCCAGACACACACACATAACAATTTTTATATTACAAATATTCATCTAAGGAAAAGAATCATGAAAACTATGGTTTGGAGTTCGCTGTTCTATGGATTAGCTGAGGCTGGACTCTAAAAAAACAGCATGCAGACATAAAAATGATGAAGAGTTTTGAAATCTGGCTTTGGAAGAAGATGGTAAAGATAAGTTGGATGGATTGAGTGACAAATGATGTAGTTTTACAGAAAGTGGGGGAGGACGGAGGAGTGTAAGTTAGTAATAACATGGAAGGAGAGGAGACAGAAGATATGGATTGGGCATATACTACAGCATTATAGACTCCTGAGAGACATCATTGAGGGAAAGAAGGAAGAAAAATGATTATGATGTTGGATGGTATCTAAGCAAATGATACATACCAAAAGATGAAGAAAAGAGCTGGAGACAAAAAAGATTGGAGTGTTTTTCATACTTAAATCCTGCTAAACAGCATAGCATCAGAGAGAGCGAGAGTAAAAGAAGGAAAGATGAAGTAATTACAAGCAAGAAAGGATAAAGAGAAAATTCTTAAATAGGACCACAAAATGATAAGTCATAAGGGGGGGGGGGGTGTCTCTGCATGAAACAAAAAACAAAAACATGATTGAATGATCAGTCATGTTTGTATGATGATTTAAAATGAGAGTAGAAAGTATGACTCAGACTCGGGGAAGCAACCTCTATATCACGTTCAAGTGACCTTGACCATATCAGAAGGTCTTCCTGAAAGTAAGAGTATGACGCTCTGTCGATTTGAGCATGTCTGTAGAGTCTATGTTTGGAGGCAGGATGCTATTATTAGTGCATCGGGCATACATGTCTAGTAGCTTACAGGCAGTAAACCCTTTACAGTCTTTATGGGGGCTAGATTAAAAGTCAGTCAGCAGCACCCAATAATTGGCACAGGTTTATCCACAACGTATTCACGCCTGGCGGTACCTGTGCTATAGACTAACACAGTCAAATTTTGATATTTACCAAATTCCTATTTTCAAATCTGGACATAACACTTCACCTGACCCTAGACCTAAACTGCACCTCAAGCCCTATTGCATTCCTAACCATATATCTGTGACTTTGATGAATTGCTGGGAGAAACTGCGACCAGAGCAGTTGTCTTCAGTCAGTAATGGTCTGAATTAACTGTGCTCTAGATTACCCTAATAAGATCATATTTAGGCTGTATGAACTTGTTAAAGTCGCTATAAGTTAAATCTAGCCTGGACTCATGTTGCTATGGATTTTGTGTTGTAACAAAACTGGAGTCTGTTCCTGCAGACTATATCTCTACTTATGTAAGTGAGTCATATATATCATGTTCACGTGTAGACCTACGTAAATGCAAATTTTTAACTCATGGTAATGACTATTCATCCTTTACATAAATACCTATGGCATTGGGAGGTTAAAGAATCTGATGCTAGCGAGAACAAGCTTTGCAGTACATAATAACTTTCATAGCATTCGGATATTGTGACAGAGAGACAGTGGATGACTCTTTAGGACAGAGCGGGTGAAGTGCTCTTTGTTAACAAATATTTTAATTTTGATATCTCTTTATTCACTTTGATTTCTATAGTTAGGGAGATATCATATTACAGAGATTCAATGTTCTGTTGAAATATGTTCTGGAAAATCTAAATTTATCATGTTATGAATTTCATATTTTTTAAGACTGTTTCAGAAATCTGCTATTCATGGATTATAAATGTCAAATACTCCTGTTGTTCACTTAGTCTGTCATATCTGTACCCCATATTACATTTCTTTTACCCTCCTCTTCTGTTCTCCAATCAGACTCTTGTCATGCTATTTCATATCTTTATGCCTTCTTACATGCTCTTTCATGATCTTAACTCAATATGTTCTATCTTCATTACCGAATATGAGACTCAAATATCAATTAGAAATATACATGTTTATTATTTTTGTTTCTCTGATGTATGTTATTTTACCAATTCTACTTTCTATTCTCTAATTGGAAATGCAGGTTGTTGATCAGTGAAAGCTGAAAAGAACTTTGTCTTGATGTTAGCTGCTGCAAGAATCCAGCAAGATAAGCTTACCCTGAAGGAGAGTGCTTTACGTTATCTTGACCAAACTGGGCAGCTAGCTTCAATAAAGAACAAGTGTGTTGACATCCAGCAGAGCAATGAAGTAAGGAAACTACTTCTTTTTCGTCAAAATTTACGAATCTACCCGTATTCTAATGTGGAATTATTACTTGATGTAAATGTAAGTGCAGGTGATACACTTATAAGTTACAATAAAGTGTCTGTCTCACAATTATAAGAAAAAAAGTCTCAATGTTTACGCTATGCTCTAAAATGTTTTCTGAGTAGTATTATTATGGATTGATAATTCTTAGTTTATTTATGAAGAAAATTAATTGGTGCAACTGGTGTGTTAATAGATAAAGAGGATTTTATGTAACATGCATTTTGAATGTTTAATCATGGAGACATCTAGGCATTGTTTATCTTAAAATGAAAATAATATAATCATATGATTACATTCTGATAGAAGAGTTCACAGGTTTAATTGAATTTTTAAAAGTCATACCATGCAAGTTCTTTTCTATTTATTTATTTTTTCTTCACAGAAACAAGTCCAAATTTACAGCTTCCTTATCCTCATCGATATCCAAGAATTATGCCAGATTGATGGTGAGTAACCCATTGACTACTGAATTTTCTCATTCTCGTAGACATTGAGTTAAGATTGACTTAGATGTGGTTGAAATTTGAAAAGTACCTTGTGTGTAAAAAGAAGTATCCGCGGTACCACTAAAATTCTAAAGATTCTCTGATGAAATATCGGATAATGCGGCAAAATTGTGCTAAAAATATAATTCAAAGATGGACATTTTGCTGTTATGGCTCTATTAATAATGTATTGTTCCCATATTGCTAATTTAGAATTTGACTATCTATCAGAATTCAGACATGTTTACATTGATATGTGTCATATTATAGCTTTTCTCTCTAACCCCTGCAACAATATCATGAGCATTTCCCCCAAAAACCTAAACAGAAAGAGCCTGAAATTACCTTTAAGTTACAGTGTACATCGATATATTAATCTTTTGCTGCTCATAAATATGAGATTAAATCAGGGATTTATCTCTTATATTGGTACAAGTGTGATTTTGGGCCATCGTAGTTGCCAATCATTTGTAAAGGAGAAAAATTTAGGCAAGGTGACAGATAAAGATTTTTTTTAAATGAATATCAATTTTAAATTTTATTGATCAAACCATGAGCCGTTGTTTATTGATGCCATGTTTTTCATTTAATATCAGCGGAACTCACAAACATGGTTACATGCAAGCCATCAGATGCATACACACTGTTTCAAGAAGTAAGTACACCATTTAAAAGATGGTACCATTTTCTATGTTACAGAACATGATAGTTAAATTTGCATTGTTTGCTAACCTTCACTGCACAATATATGAAGTTGTATTTTCAATCTCCTTTAGATGTGAAGTAAGATCTGTATTATGGTAGACAGAGAATGTGCTGGTATACTTTCAGATTTATAAAAGATTATCCTTATTAAAACATGGGAATTTCCTACCAACTTTTTGATAAGTATGATTACTGTACTATTTTCAATGGGAAATGTCTCATTTTCAGAAACAAGTATCTTAAAAGAAAATGAAATTCATGCTTATATGTATGTTATTTGAATTTTTCTTAAATGAATTTACATTTGATTTGAGAGTACATGTTGATCTAATGTACATGTCAATGTAGTTGTCCTATGTATTTGTTTATATTGATGTTTTTGATCAATCATTAGGTATGTAATTTTTACCACATCAAGTTAATGTTTTTAATGTATCATTAGGTATGTTTCACCGCATCACACACACTTGGAGTCATTCCAAAGAGCATCAAACCAACTCAGATCCACTGTAATCTCAGGCTCAATGGCCTACCTACACTCCCTAGGTAAGTTATATCCATTCCCATTTTCCCTCCTCAATATTGCAAATTTCTCTGTTCCCTTCTTGTTCAGAATTACTTGTATTGCCTGCAGTTATTTTGTCAAGAGATTGGAATGTATCTAATAATAATAAATAATAATAACAATATTTATAAAGCGCAACATATCCATCTCTAGAGATGCTCAAGGCGCATACAAATAATTTAAATTAATATTTAACATACTTAAGATCTATCTGGTACTCTGCGAATGTCATTTACTCAGTCGGAGGGATTCAATCTTTTTTTCATCTCCAAATCTTGTTTCTCAATTCACTCTATTATTTTTAAAAAAATATAAATTTTCTAGGACCTTGACTAGAACTCTTAATTGTTCCTTTATCAATCATCTTCAGCTGCCAGTTCATTTCCTGCGTTACTGCCAATGAAAATGAAATGAGTGTACGTTTGAGAAGGTGTTATATTCCTAATAATAATCTGTTGGTATTTTTGGTAATATGTTCATCAGTGAAAAAGTATTTATATGAGACCTTATGCTCAGCAAAAGATATTGTTTAATTTTCTTTGAACACAGCTATGTACTGCGACCAAGAGATTTCTTTGCATCCAAGTTTGCATCCCGCTTTTACCAGTTTGTAGGTGTGGTGTGTAGTATGACTTCTCCTTCTAAATATACGTAAGTTATGTACTATTATTCATTCTTATATTGTTTTTGTATTAAGTATGCATTGCTTAAATTGTCGGTGTATATCTCAGTTATGTAAGTCATAGAAAGTATTTTCTCTCAAGTATCTCCTATATTATTTAGTGAAGGATTTGGGCATGACATCTAATTATTTGCTCTCAGTAAGAACAAGGATGCCAGTTGTTCAATATATTTGCTTTGAGCCTCGTTGATACTAAAAGGCAAAACTTTTCAATGTTAAAAATTGCCCTCCACAAAGATATAAATAGCTTGATTTCCTGCTTTTGTTTTGACTGTCATCAAGATAAATGTATCTCTCAATGCTTTCCATCAAATGTGTTGACTTTTTAAAGAAAGACATTCAACTTAACATTTAAAAAATCTTTAATTGAGACATAAATGGCTTGGCATCATATTTTTTTGTTTTGACAGTCAATGAGCCACATGTCAGTGTCCAACCTTTGAATGCTTCTGATCATATGTGCTGAAATTAAACAGAAAAACATTGAAATTAACATTTTATGGTAAAATCCTTGCCTCTGTGAAGACATAAATAGCTTGATATCCTGTTTTTGTTTTGACAATCCATGTACCAAATATAAATTTCCTATCTCTGATTGTTGTTTATGCAGATGTAAAAAGAACTATAAAATGAATTTTTAAAAACCTTACTTTAATGAAGACGTACATATTGAGATATTCCTTCTCTTTCTAACAGTCGATGTGCCAAATATAGATGTCCTATTTCTGAATGCTTTGGTTCTGATGAAAATACGTACGTTAGACTACACACTGCTGGGGCCAAGGAAGCACAGACTGTAAGGTGATTATAAGTTTATGGTTTTTAAAGAGGCATTGATCCACGTATCAGTCAGTGTTTTTTAAAAAATGTTAATACAAGTTTTTTCAGTAAAATATAACTTTGGGGATTAAAAAATACAGTTTTTGAATTGTGTTGTGACAATCATGTTCCTTAGACATTATTTTTCTGGTAATAGCTGAGCTGCCAAAATAACTAGTGCTCAAATATATCGGGTACCCATTTTGCATCTACATGGAGAGAGGCAAACGTAGATTAACGTCTTGCCAAAGGATGTTAGTGCTGGGCTGGGATTTGAACCTTGTACCTTGACCACAGCACTTCAGTCACACCAACAAGACTTACAAAAGAGCGAAATAAAAGGATATTGCCCTGGAAGGCCAAGAGTTGATCGAATTGAGGTTTTTGTAGAGTTGGTTTCGCAGTGTGACTGAGGCATTGATTAGTCCATTCCATGTGACTCCATGTGACAGGATGTGATGGTACTGTCACAGGATATATGTATGAGGTTAAAACCTCACTCAGTCACGACATGGTAAACTGCCTCAAAAACAAACAAGCAAGCTTGGTGCTGAAAAATAAAAACTAGTGTCATGTTATGATAATAGTACATTAGCATTTGACCTTGTAATCCAGAATTTATTTTATTGTCATGACATACAATGGATTTATTTCATAAATTTTGTAGAGTAATTTTACATGCAAAACTTTATACCAATTTTCAAGAGGAGGGGGAAGAGAATTTACTCTTTACCATGAGGTGGGGCTTTAGAATTTTAATATTTGGGGACATTTAAGAGGATTAATATGCACTGAAAACTCTGATTATTGTAGTTGACTAAGAAAAAACTGATAAACATATTGTTTCCTTTTTATTGCAGGAATGATTTTCATTGCTTCTACTGTGGTACCTTGCTTGTTGAAGATGTTAATGGCAGAATCATTGGAGGTAAGACTTGCTCTGAACTTAAAGCATTATCTATACAACTGTTCATATAAACCTGGTGAATTCAATGTAGTAATTGATTTTCAGTAGTGGATGGATTGATAGCTTATAATACATTGAATTACAAACTGTTCTTATAGTTTTACAAGGGGTTCAAATGTTGCTAGAGAAATGTATTTGCTGAATCAATTTGAGTACAATGTGGCCCCATTTTTGTAAGAGATGGTTAACCAATACATGTTTTACAAAATATATGAGGTCAACTATTATGTGTCTTGTCATGAGACAAGGGCTTGGGCGATTACAGTGATCTATGATGCACATATCAAGCTTTCTAGCTAGGCAGCTGTTTTATTTGAGGCGCCTGACATACATGTACCAATTTGAATTTAAGCCATACAGGAAATAATCCATACAGGAAATAATCCATTTAAGGCATGATTGCTCTGATTACTGTAACGTTGGATAACTACCATGCAGATTTCAGTGTAATATTCATGTAGTAGCATTCCTAGACCACAATCACAGTTACATTTTCCATGTTACCGGTAATTACTTACTGAACCATAGCTGTTATTTTGCACAAATACAACATAAAAAATCCCACTGAACATTTTTTAAAGTGGCATAATTACATAATTATTTATACCCTTACCAAGTTTTGTCATTTCTGTATGTTAAAAAGTTTTGTAATTTTTTTTGAGTATGTGATTTTCTTTTATTATAATGTAAAATATGAAAGCTTTAATAGCTTACATCTAAAAGTATTCAACAAAGGCCCTTATTCAACCAATCCATGTTTGATTCTTATGTTACAAAAATACAAAACCAAACAAATTTTACAACGGGTATCAATAATTTAATCAATAAGTGCCACGCCTTGATTTGTACATATATTTATGTCTGTGTTATTCTACACTCTAGAACGGCTTGTCCTAAAGATGGTATGCAAGGATGCATTTTACGAAGCTTCTTGTCCTCAGTATCACCAATCTATAACAGTGTATGTGAGAGGTAAGCATTGGTATTTTGCTATTAATATTTTTACAATTTAAGTTGGAGTTTCTCGTAACAAAATTCTACTTATTTGATAGTTACATGTAGATATTACAAAATGGCATGGAAAAAAATGATTTCACTAGCTTTTACTCAAGTTTACCCCTTAGAAATTCAAGTTGTATGTAGGATTTTTTTTAACTCACGATAGAAAAAATAGGATTTAAGTTGGAAAAATAAGTAGAATAGACTCTAGTTAGGAACTAGGTAATCATCCAATTATAACTGTTGTAAATTTCTTGGAATTTGATTTGGGGTAATTAAACCTTTCCTTTTTATATGATCGTGTCACGATTTTTGCATATTATTTGTCACTTTATTTTATACTTCATCATCTTTCTCTGTTCTTTGACCTTTCAGATGACCTCATGCCCACAGTCTTCCTTGGTGGGTGTTTCAATGTGATTGGAATCCCTACTATAGAAAACCGTGGTTCTAGAATGTCGCTAGCATTTGAGGTGGGTATCACTCATACAATCTTGTATTGCTTTTTTTATAATCAGATTAACGCTTCCCTAACCCTCAACTCCCTAAAAACAAAACAGAATTTAGCAAAGATAAATTAGTAAAATATAACTTTGTTATTTTATTAAATCGCTCAGTTTTAATGGGATAAATTTCTCTGTTTTTATCACTTTTATCTTAATAGAAGGTTATATCGTTCAAAAGTGGTAATGCTGAAAATAAAACAACTGAAAGTCACAGATGAAAATCACAAGAAGCAAAGTTTGGGTCTATCGATATACAGTCAAAACTAATTCATTCATTTAGTTTTGTAGTGATTTGAGTATGTGAAAAATTGATTTGTCCCAATTTACATTTATTGAGAATGACATATTAAAGCTTACATCAGAAAGCTTCCAACGAAGGCCCTAATTTAACCAGCCCAACTTTTACTTTTGAGTCACGAAAAAACATCAAATTTACAAGGGATATGAATACTTTATTTGTTAACTGTATGTAGCCTTTTCACTAGTTTGAAAATAAAAACCCCATATAAAAAATGACATTCCCAGTGTTCATTTTGTTCATTCTTCATTTTTATGTTAAAATCATTGAGAATCTGTTTACAAAATTGCAAGAAAGTATAATTGTTGCTTCTTTTTTAAATCTAATTATCTGTCCTTTGTCATTTTCTGTTTCATTGACAGGCAAACAACATATTGTTGGTAAGTGTGATTTTTTTTAATGGAGATATATACAGTCAAAATATTGTGTACTGTAGTTTAAACTCATTAAAAATATGTTCATGAATGATTTCTGAATGATGAATGAAAGATGATCAGATTCCAATGCCAGTGTCATTGTTTTATTAGTATTTTATGAATGACATTTATCAATATTTATTAATGCACTAAATTTGTTGCCATTTGTAATGATGATCAAATTAATGTTCAGCTTTGTTGGTTACATCTACATCAATCCTTTATTATATAGCATTTATTCTATCATGTCAGAATTTATAGTATCATGATCTACATTTATACCAATGAATATTACACTAAGAATATATTTTCTTCCGCTCCCCAAGGTTATTGATGAAGGTTCAACCTGTATGAGAAAAGTTTCTAAATTTATTCAAGCCTGATTGTTTATTATTTGATCATGCTTTGGATGTATACTTTAAATAATTTCATGGCATTATTTTTAGATTGACCAGCCATCAATACCACTGATACCAAAGACTATTCCACAGAGGATTCACACACTCTATGCAGGTATGGATGTTTGATCTGTATTATTTTCAAACTTTACATACGTATTTTGAAATGAGTATTGATGCAAGCAACGATTTGAACATGATTGTATCAGTGAACTTTTAATTTGATTTCATTTGAATGTTTTTACCATTGAAAACGTGAGTTTCTCATTGTTTCTGGGTTGTGTCGTTGTCCTTAGAACTAATTATGTGACATTTGTTTTTTTTACCCCATTCCTATATATCCTAAGAGGCAAAAGCTGGCTAAGAATTTGAGTGTTGAACAATGGTTTGGAAATAGAAATGACTTACTGTATCAGAATTTAGAAATAGGCATCTTCTTTTTAATCAATGGAATATATTTAATGCCCAATTTAGCAAGGAAACAAGAAATGCTGGTGAAAATATTATGTGTGAAAGTTCATTAATGACACTTATTATCTTGAACAATGATGCACTATATAACACATTATTTGAAAGTTTCCTGAAAAAATAAATCATGAATCTTTAATGCATGGTTTTCTAACAAATATTGTGAACTATTTGTATCATATCCGCATTTACCTTCACAGATCGTGCATCATCTCCATGGAGTTTCAGTTCAAGCCTTGCCTACTTGTTTGCCCCTGACATAGCACCACCTGGAACCTTCCACAAACTGAAACTCCATCTTCTGCTAAGCCTCATGCAGTCAACACAATCTGAAAATGTAAGACATATTGTAAATTGAAGAACTAAGCTCCTCACCTGTGAGGTTAGATAGAAGAATCTTGTTTATTTTTTCTGAGAATGAATATTTTAATTGCCAAGGAACGTTGCCATTTAGATGCATAGTCAATGTGAACTTGTTGAAAAAGATTGAAGGTTACAGCCATTATTTTGAGCAGAACTGTATTTTGAGAGAAACTGTCAAGATGTTCTTCAACTTTGTTGATGATACAATGAAACAGGAGTTCTTATCATCTTGTTTAAAACTTTGTTTAAAAATTCTCAAAAAGGGTCAGTCAAAATTGTATCCCTTATCTCAATCTTGTTGCTTCAGATTGAAATGTTTCAACTGAGTTTGGCGAGAAATTAAGTCAGCACTGGTTTAATCTGGAATACAATACATTTTGTTTTAAGTTAGTCAAATGGCCAACCCTCTATTAAAAAAAATTGTGCAATTCCTATCATTTCTCAGATCCTAGATGTACTAGCTGTTGGCAAGGACACCAATGTACTCCACAGACTAATGATGCATGCGGCATCATTTGCTAAGCAGCAAATATCACACGCCTCATCCACGCCCATATTTGGTCACATCCAAAAGGACGCACAGACTGGTGCATGTGTCATTGAAGGTAGGAAAGATTTAAAAGACTGGATTAAAGAACATATTCAAATTGAATGCATGCTTTTTATACCTGAAATCTTGCAAGAGGCTATCCCAACATAGCAACAAGTGATACTATGTTCCCACCAAAAGTACAACCACTGTAGGGTCAGGTTCTGAATTTACTAATGTGTGGACACTTTAGAAATGCCTTTTTTTGTGCCTCAGAGGTGAAAAGAAGGTGGAATTACTCAGATAATCTGTCATGTTTCCTGTTCCAACTTCAAAAGGAAAACATTCGTAACTTTTTAGCTACATAATAAAGTTATAGAAAAGTTATTGTGTTTTGCTATTCATGATGGATATCTTAGTTTCACAGAATATTATTTTTATTTAAGTTAAATCGATTGTAAAGAATAAGATTGTATGGATATTGCACATGTGAAATTGCCCTGTTGCTATATATTTCTTGATGATTATAGAATACAATTATGATATCAACTGATCAAAGATATGTGATTATACTGATTTCTATTCACACCTTTTTTGTATACAGCTGGATCTGTTGTACTGGCACACCAGGGAGTCTGTTTGCTTGGCTGCCTGGATACATGGAAGAAAGATGCTAAGGAAAGAATGAGAGCAGGTAAACTTTAACCAAATTCTTAAATTACATATACTTGTTTTAAATGTCATAATGCATATGTAGTCCAAAGTGTTAGGGCAGCAAGGTAGCAATTGTCAAGGGTAGTATTTCACCAATAAATGAAACTTTTACATAATTGTGGCAAGCATCACATCATTCTACTTTGTTGTTGTTCAATAAAAGAAATATGAAATGGTTTTCATTTATTGAAACACAAGAGAAAACTGCATGCATTCAATAATTTGTTTTGCCTTTTCTACATTTGTATGTATGTTTGTTGATTTTTTTTCTTTCTAATGAGTTACAATTTCAGTTATCCATTAGTAGTTTTCCTTTCCCTATACTACAGCAACTGACAGCAGAACCATTTCCCTTGCTCTTCCATGTCGATATATACGCTGGTCCTCTACATGTATACCATACCTCTTGAATCAGACATTATTTATCTTCTGCATTATTTTCTCCGTACTCATATACACTGTATCCTTAGCTTGACAAAGACATTTTTAGTAATCCCAAAGTGCTTTTCCCCCCCTCCCTCCTACATATACTACAGCAACTGACAGCAGGAGCATAACCCTGACTGTTCCCCATACTGTAGATGCTGGTCCTCTACAGATATACACCATGCCTCTTGAATCAACCTTGTGGGCCTATAGTAGTCCCAATGTTAGAAGGCCTAAAGCAGATCTCTTTGTGGCACAGGTAAGAGGGCAATTCCTCAGGAGTGGTAAATGGATTAGAGCTTTTTCATGAACATTTGTATGATTAAAAATATTACAGAGTGCTGCTGCTTGTATAGTGACCCTCTCCAACAAACACAGTCACTTCACACCAGTTCTCAAGGCACTACATTGGTTGCTCATGAGGGAACGCATTGTTTTCAAATTCACTTGGTTTTATTTTATTGTGTCGATGACTCTCCTCCACAGTTCAATAGTATTTAATGTAATTTACATTCTTTCCAGATCTCTATGCCCTCTCTTACATTCCCACTGATTGATTTAACTATGGTAGGGTTTGATGGTACACTGATGTTATATTACAATGTCAAAAGGATACTTTTTATATGGAAAGCTCCAATGTTAAAAGAATGATGATTAAACAATCAGAGAATTTGGCATAATTTTGTATATAACTTGCATATACCCCCGTTGTTACATTGTTTTTAAAATGTGTTTCTTTTTCTCAATTTCAGGATATTGATGACATTTCCGCAAAGATTCCAGAGTAAGTTATGCTGTTTTATCATCTGAGATGCACAACACCATGGAAGCTTTGTATCTAAAACTAGATGGAACTTCGACTGCGCGCAGTCGAAATGATGCCTCCGTCATAGAGCAATTTTACAAACCAAAACAGAAGAAATTGTTCAAATTCAAGTTCAATTGTAATCCATTAACAGGTTCTCAGAATATCGTGATTACAAGCAATTTCTCATATACATATATGACCCTTTGATCTTTGACCACATGACCCTAACATCTACTCAGTTCATTGGCTCTGCAAGATACATACATGATCTAAGTTTGGGAGGAATCCATCAATCTGTTCTAATGATAATGCGATCACAAGCTATTTTTCATGCATAATGAGCCGCATGACCTTTGACCTTGACCTCATGACCCCAAAATTGAATCAGTTCATCAGCTCTGCAAGTAACATACATGACCTAAGTTTGGCAGGAATCCATCAATCGGTTCTTGAGATAACGCGATCACGAGCTGTTTCAGCATATATAATGAGCCCTGTGACCTTTGACCTTTAACCTCGTGACCCCAAAATCTAATCAGTTCATCGTCTCTGCAAGATACATACATGACCTTAGTTTGGCAGGAATCCATCAATCGGTTCTTCAGATAACGCGATCACGAGCTTTTTTGCATACATAATGAGCCCTGTGACATTTGACCTTTGACCTCGTGACCCCAAAATCTAATCAGTTCATCGGCTCTGCAAGATACATACATGACCAAAGTTTGGCAGGAATCCATCAATCGGTTCTTCAGATAACGCGATCACGAGAACGGGACGTACGGACGGACGTACGTACGGAAAACATAATGCCTCCGGCTACTTTGTAACGGAGGCATAAAAAAATATTTTAGCTGATACGATAGTAATGTCCCAATACAGTTTAAGGTCCACTTTGATATAATAATTATATGTGTATACTCTGCTGCACTGATGCATAATCAAGTCATTCTTGCTCATTGTTTAAAATCATGAAATTTTATTGACTTTTTACCTTAAAAAACGGTCAGTTATCATTTTTTTTTTTTTTTTTTTTTTTTTTTTAGGGGCGGGGGGTCCAAATGTTAGCTTAGCAAACCTATTACTCACTGTATGTTCTTTTGCATTCCTCCTCATTAATTTCAGCATGGTTGTATTGTATAATAACTGTGACCATATACATGAGAGCTGATTCATTTACCTATTCATTGCTATTGATTCTTCCTTATTTTTTAACTCCCTACAGAGGCTTCAGCATGGTCGTGATGTGTGATAACAGCGACCATACATGGGATGAGTTCAAGGAAGCAAGTCTTATCCATCAAGCTCTGATTGGTGCTATGAATGTCAAACAGGAGCATCCTCATCAAGCCATTGCAAATGAAGACTTTAAACAGGTACAACCAAGGTCCTACCCTCAAGTAGAGATATATTTTAACCCCAGTATTACGCAGTCAAAATTTGAATATTTTTTTCCCTTGGGGTAGGGCAATTCTTCAATTATTTTAGTTTAAGTAAATGCTAATAATTTGAAATTATTTCTGTAACTAGTCCTCACAAATTGACCTGTGCTACTCTGAGATATGCAAGAGTCAATCAAGTTTTCTGTTGAGGATACAAGTTTCAGAATTGTAATATTATGTAGCCTTTGTACTAGCTGCAAAATGCACTGCATTCTTTTACTTTGTAATAAACCAAAAAGCAAGAATTCACTGGTATAGATAGAAAATGTCATGAATAAAATATTGAGTTGATATAGAATGCTGAAATTTATATGTGGAATGATAGCTAGTGATGATCAATGGACATATGTATATTGTAAAATAATAATGTGCAATGTTGTTGATACTGCTTACAATTATAATTATTGTCTGATTATTATTATTATTATTTTCTTGAAGTACTGTAATGTATGACATAAGAGCACATGCTTCAAATAATAATTCTTTGCCTCCTTTCACAGTTCATTGAGCTTGCCAGGCAGCAGCCTGCAGAACTGACGAAAGTAGCCCAGCAGCTTATCCAGGGGTACTTTGTGGGGAGTAGAAGGGTGCGATCATCTGGTGTGAGGGGTACACCATTTCCCCCTGCTGCCCTCAAGACCCTGTAAGTTCATTCATATGTTCTTGCATGTCGACTATTTTAGTGTATTTTAAATTATTGCCCAACATGTATACAGTATTGAGCGGCGTATTATCCAGAAAGTGATTGATCATTAGTTGAGAAAGAGAGAGATTGAGGGGGAGAGAAACAGATAAACACTTAAAAACAGATCATATTCATTTTTACAATGCTTGTAATGTTAGCTAGTACCCTTTGTCAGGATCATATTCAACATGACAAATTTGTGAACTTATAAAATGTATGTCATTTCCCCTCTCTGTCATGTTCCATGTATATCAGAACTAGTATGGCAGCTGCCCATGCCAAGCTGTGCCTTCGTAAAGATGTCAATGAGAATGATGCTACGCTTGCCATCATGCTTTATGAGGAGTCCATCACCGCCAGATTTGGTATGTTTTAATTTTGCATGATATTGAGCATGATAATGATAATATAAGTTTCCAGGAAGTCCAGAAAATCATTTGGAGACAGTTTATAAATTTCATTGAGCATGCAATTCCATGGGTTTCATCCATGCAAGTTATCATGGGATGTGTATTCAATGGTTTGGATACGGTACTACCATGGCTCTATATGTAGTGTACCGTAATAATTGTAATTGTTTATTTTTACCGCGGCTGAAATACCGTACCGTGGTATAGTAACTCGGTAAATTTTTATAAGGGTCAGGGACTTGGTAATGAGGATTAATGCATTAATTCCCAAAGGGGGCTAGTGCATCGAATGGGTTTTAAACTTGGGACCTTCCAGTTACAAGATTCCTACTGTACCACTGAGCCATCACAAAATGGTTAACAGTAATGGTAGTCTCAAGGTTTAGTAGTCTACTGTCCTAAAATATGAACATGCTTTCTGACGTTCAATGAATGAAAAAGGTCACAGATAGATTTCTGCCTAATAAATTCATTCAATTTAAAATTATTCCTAGCTTTGTAATGAACTCAATGAATGAATAAGACATTGATCTGGTAATTCTAACTACCGGTAATAGAACAGTTACCGGTAGTCCCATAGTTTACGGTAATTCACATTCATATAATCGTCTTTTTTAACTCACGTCATTTCCACTAGGATACAAAGATTTTAAAATATAACTTTGATTGTTCATTTCAGGTTATTCGACCCTCAATGTGCATCCCATCCCACACTTCAGAGACAGCAACATGACCACCTATCTAGGCCCAGAGGTAAGATTCAGTCTTGTTGCCTTCTGTGCTAGAAGCTGAAAGTTTTTGAAAATGACTGAAATTTGTTTGGTCTTTTGTTACTCTGTGTATTGAGTTTATCTTCTCATTTGGCTGGTATAAACCTGCATGCAATAGATTTCTGTAAAATGATTATGATTAAATACTAATAAGATAAAAAGGTGAGAATGTTTTTAATGGTATTTTTGTTTTTGGGGGGTATTATGTAACATGAAAACTTATTTAATTCTTGTAGTGGCCATCATGGTCCCACTCCCTATTTGGACCATTGCCTACAGGATTTTTTTTTTTAAAGCAAATGAAAAGAACTTGCAGCTATTGAAAAATTGTACCGTAAAGTTCAAATTTTGAAAAATCCATCACATTTGGTCATGTGTTTTATTTGCTGTGTCTGCTATAAATATTTCTTTCATTCATTTTATAAATTGTACTTTTTCTGGAATTAGCTTTTCTTGCATGCGATACTGCTATTCGTTCATGACCTTCCAAAATGTATGCTATGCCTTACAATTGATTAAATTAAATATAACTTGTGCTTATTCCTTAATCTTGTTATCAACCTTTTCAGAACGACCTTCGAATGCAGCAATTCCAGGAGCAGTTGCGTAGATTTTGTGCTAATCATGATCCCAACTTCAGCATCCATAGTGCAGAGGATTAGCTATTCAAAATACATGGGATTAGAACACAACAGAGGAGAGTTGAAGATAGATGGAGCTGGAGACTCTTTATCTCATGAAAAAGATCAGTTTATGATGCAGGATGTTTGAGTATTGTCACAATGGCTTGGTTATTTCTCTCCTTTGATATTCATCCGTATTAGATTTTGAATCTACCAATACTTAAGACTCATACATGCATGTGGAGTTCATACATGTAGTTATTATTTGGTGTAAAATTGATTGAAATGACAATGATTTTATGATTATACACATGCATTTAAATTCAAATTCTAGTTATATTCTAGTTATATATAAATTCATAAATATAACCGGTTCCAAATGACTTTTATATAGATACGATATATTCTTTAGCAAAGTCATTTAACTGTGATATATTTTACTTTGAAAATAGTTTATTCATGTGAATGTACATGTTTCCAAATGAATTTTTGGAAAAGGTTAAAAAATGTTGATATCAATATTTTTCTGAACAAATTATATATTTATTAGTATTGGGGTGTACTGGTATATACTCCTTTATTAGAGTTTAGAAAACTATGTTTATTCTGAAGGTACGTGTATGTATTTATATTACGTATATGCATATATTACTTATAGATGATTTATTAATATATCATATGATTTATCGCAATCTGAATGTTTGCTTATGCAAGATTGAACTCGGAGAAGAGTGCTAGTATATTTGTAAAAGATTTTATCTTATATTTTAATGCAAATTATATATTTATTAGAGTTGGGGAGTATTTAATTGGTATTGTAGGTTTATTCTTAAGGGGAAGTCCACACTAACATTAAGTTAATTTTGATAAAAGCAGAAAAATTAGAGAAATAGATTAGTGAAAGTTTGATCAAAATCCGATGAAGAGTGAGTAAGTTATGAATTTCTGTAATTGAATTCTATCAAACACAAATTGGCAACGTTGTGACGTATCTTGCGAGGTCCCAACCATTTTCTCTGAACAGGAAAGTTCATAAATGACTATTTTCTTAGATGCTGATAAAAGAATTTTGTTCATGCAGGGGTTGTGTAGAAACCATGATTATATCAAAGGTATAGACTTGTATGATAAAATTATTTCTTGAGAGAAAAGATAAATTTAGAATTTTTTAGTACAAAGCAAGATATGTTGCAGTGTTGCCAATTTGTGTTTGATTGATTAAAACTTAAAAATTCTCACCTTCCTAATTTTTTAATCTTGTACATGTGCTTTCACTGATCAGTTTCCCTAATTGTTCTGCTTCTATTGAAACCAACTTCAGATCAGGGTGGACTTTCCCTTGAAGGTATATTTCAGGTACATTTATTCTACATAGATGGTTTATTGCAATCAGATTGTTTTATGCTGGGTTACAATAGGATGAGAGTGTATTTATATAAAAAGTTTATTGACGAAAACTTATTTGTGGTAAATATTTATGCAACTTGTGTTTTACATGCTATTATTGCCTTCTCTTTATCAGCTCTACTTGCCAGCCTTTTTTATTAAAATGAATGCCTTTGAGATGTGTACCTATAGATATGTGTCACATATATCCTTGTTTATACCCGATGTATCATGCTGTTAAGTTGTGACCCTATGCAAAATCCTTTCAGAGGCACCTTCAGAAACTATTAATGGGAAATCCCACATTTTTGGGAAATATAATTACTCAATCCAAATTTTCATGTACATGTAGCATTGAGGCACTTGTTACTTTCACTCTAATGCAACCTCCATGCAAACGTAATGAAGAATATTCTGTTGCAAAGCTAAAATGAATATCTAGGCAGTGAAGGAAATAAGTAACTCAACATGAAAGTCATAATGACCCATCATAGTGTACTTTAAGATTCATTCTGAAACAATTTATGAATTGGATTTAGAATTTTGTATTTTGTTGATATTCAATTTGTATTCCATTATTTTATTTCCTTTATGATTATACTTGAAATATATGCAGTGAAATAATTATTTAGTATGTTACATCCACGATTATATTACAAATGTATGTTATTAATTTCCATTTCTGATTGTTTTACATTTTTATAGGATTGTTACTTTTTTAATTTATGAAACAAAAAACGTTCCAACCTATGTGTCGTGTTAAATCTTTGAAGTCTGTGGGTATTGACACCTTATAGATATGAAAGACATTCACAACTTATACAATATTTCACAAATTTGAATGACAGTTGCTCCAGGTAAGCTCAAAAGCTTGGTAGAGGTTCACCCAACTTACACCATGAATATGACGGACAAAGAAAGCGGACAAATTATACAGTTCCTCAGGTAGACAAAGGAACATCCCTTCACTGCTATTATGTAAAAAGGTGAATATGAATGTGACACCTGTTCTTCACATTTTTACATAATAGCAGTGATGGGATGTTCCTTTGTCTACCTGAGGAACTGTATATTTTGTCCGCTTTCTTTGACAGTCATGTTCATAGTGTTAGCAGTGAAAGTTGTAAGCAAACTAAGTTGTCTCGCAAAAGACCATCACATTGTTTGAAACGAAGTGTAGCGAGTGTCTATAAGTAGAAAAAGATAGGCCTTTGCTTCTGTGTTTGCAAACAAATTTGATTTACTCAGTCACAGAATTATCATTCAGCAGTCTCAGAAGAAAAAGAAAGGAAGACTTCATTGTTTTGTACAGAGGAATATTTAGTGTTCACAAATCAAAATTCATTAAATACCGTACTTTTGTATATGACAAATAATACAACTACTTGTAGATATAAATCCTGTCTAAAAATAACAATGTATGTGGATCCAATTAAATAACAATGTTCCAAATTACACCCTACACAGTCAATTGTACTGCTAAATATTATACACACAAGAAAAAGAAGTTGGTGCTGAAGGACACAAGGTATGTGGTTTGCGTTTAGCAGAGTTATTTTTGTACCAATTGATGAATGCAAGAAAAAAGGTTGGATATGATAAAATTGCAAGTGTATACAGCTAGTCCTGTTATTTTTATATGGTAAAGGGAGAAGATAGAGTAGCATTCTTTTTTATTTTATTCCTATTTATTTGTGATTGTTTTGTGCAATAATGTAGTAGGCATGCAGCCAGCATAGATCCTACAGGTAACATGTTTACAATGTCTCAGTCTTTGACAAAATAAACCTTGTTCAACGTTGAGTAAATTTCCTTTTGTATTTATTTATTTCTTGTGTGGTTGTGAACACATGTAGATGATGACAGGGTGATGTAAACATACCCATACGGACTGTCATGGACAGATACTAAAAGGTAGATAAAAGAAATGTAGGAACACACCCAGATGTGCCCAGAATGCAAAAGATAATATCTATAGTTCTGTCTTCACATCTATGAGCATATTCTACCTTGTATGAATGATATCAATATCACTTAGCCTTCATGTATGTCTAGACCAAAAATAGTACCGGTATGTGTAGGTTGTGTCTCGTGCTATATAATAACGAGATTTGATTATTATGCATTTGGCATTTCTTGCACATCTACATGTATGCATTCCAATACATTTCCTTCAGCTACCCACAGAGTAATACACTTTATTGAATAGAAGAGGAGATATGAATAGCAATATACAAATGATTACCAATTTTTCTCAGAGAATTAAAGTGTATGTAATACTTGAATGCAATGCAATGACAAAATGGGCTAAACCTTATACCGGTGTACATAAATGGTGAAATTATGGGTTTCTTCATATTTTTAACACTGAGAAAAACACTAAACACTAACCCCAACATAAAACATAATCACAGACCTAATCACAACCCTAATCATAACCCTACAAAAAAAAAAGCCCAGAGCATACATGTATGTTGGATCACCTAGACCAAACTTCTTACATATTCAATGACTAACATATGTTTCAAACACATCCTAAAACAGGAAAATGATTGCACTTTGTATACAAATTCAAACCCAAATCGAATCTCTAATAAATATCCATTTATATAAAGGAATTTTTACTACAGCTCTTTCCTTTTCTCTCTGTAACTCAGTTCCTAACAACATATAATCTTCCTTCAAAGGCAGCAGTTTATTAATTACTAATTTTGACCACTGAATCTTAAACTTTTTTTTCTTTCAATAATATTGGAGGTGCTGTACATTCCTTAAAATGCTTAAAATAAACGGACCTCTAATAAAAAATCACAGGATGATAGTCGTACATTGAGATTCTGCGTATGAAAATCCATATTAAAATATCAAAATTACAATTATTTGTACACAGTTACACACAAAATAATAATGAGTGTTACAAACTTGAACAACTCCCAGTCACCACACACTCTTATCTTATCCAACCTTGACCATTTTTTTTAAATAAAAAGAGAGCATAATTGCATTTTGAATTTAGAGAGTAATATTCCTGACAGATGCTGCTTATTTGTGTGACCAAGAAATAAAATATGCTGGATATTACAAGCCTGCCAGTATTAAAGAGAATAGGCCTATGAATCAGTGATAAATTGGGGACATCGAGTCATAGACATTTCATTGCTCTTTATACTCAAGGTCTGTGTTATAGCCAGATATTTCATTAGTTTCATGTCCAGACTGGACATTAAATAGACTATTTGAAAATTCTGATCTTTTCATTAACTATATGTAGATGCCATTTGACAATTCCCGAAATTTTTGTGTAGTCAGACCATACAGTGTGCAATGGGCTTAATATGTATACAATTTTTCACAATCACAAGAATAAAATTCATACATCTCTGCACATATACACACAACATGTTTCCCTATACAAATGTAATAATGAATGTCTGTAAAACACAACTGTAAAACCAGACACTCTTGCGCTCCTGAAACGTTAATGAACTTCAAGATTCACAAGTTTCATACTGCGAAAGTAAATGCATTACGAACTGAAAACAGCACTGAATATTTATAATTCACAACAGTTTCATGTTGCAAAAGTTTAAGGTTTTACAGTATAATATAATGACTAGCCTGGGCGTAATATAGCATTTAGTGACCCGACAAGAGGTCAAAAATTCCAAGAGAAATTCCAAAAGGAATTCCATTCGTTTTAATATCATAGAAACTGCAATACTGAGAGAAATATCATTGAGTGTGAAAGTTAAATATCCTAGGGATCATCAAATGCTATATTTCACCTATGGCCAGTTATTTTGGGTGTATTACATGGTCTCTCTAGATACAGATTCTTGGTGACAAGTGTCAAACTTTCTTGTCTAATCTAAGTCAAAATATCACTTGTGCCAACTATTACTGTGAAAAAAGTATATACGGAACTCATAAAATTAATCCAAAAACCATCTAGGGCGGTAGACTTCTGGAACAAAACCTTACAAACAAATGTTACTATAAAGTGGGACTCTTTATGGTTATTTAAATTGAAATATGCTCGTGATAATTATTTGATACAATTCAACTTTAAATTTATGTATAATATTTTACCAACACCTGATAATTTATTCAAATGGAAAATCAAAGAAAACAATTTGTGTTACTACTGTAATAAACCTGGTACTATTATACATGTATTTTTTGAATGCGAAAATATTTACCGATTTTGGAACGTTATCGAAATATTATTATGTAACTCCTTCTGTAAAGATTTTAAATTCTCACCCATTTGTGTTGTATATGGTTTTCATGACGCAAAAGAAAATGTTATAGATATTGACCTAATACTTCATTATGCTTTATTTGCAATCTATAAAGCGAGTGTTGGAAGTCAATTTAATAAAAATGTAGTGACGAGAATAATAAGCAAATATTTTTTGTTTATGTTAGAATACAAAATAGAAGTTGAGGAAAACAGAACTAAAACAACGAATCTGAATATTATTAAGTGGAAGGAAACTATAACTAATTTAAAATCTGCTATTAAGTAAATAGAAATATAATTTGATTTGACCTCATTTAGACATGTGATTCAGTGATTTGTTATGAATATTTATGTACTATGATGTTATCCATGATTTTACCTGAATAAAGATTTATTTCAACAACAAAAAAAAAATCACTTGTGCCAACCACCTTACCCTCCTTTGTGCATGTTTAACCAAGCTGCCTGCATCTAAAGAGGCCATGTTACACCAAAAAGTAATCAATCATCTACTACATGATAACAGAGTACAAAATGTTATTTCCGTTTGGCTTTAATAGCCTTGTCTTTGGATTTCTTTGGAGCCGATGATCCTCCACCAAAGAAGCTTGTGGCCATCTCAGATAAATCTGGTAAATCTTGCTTCTGGTTCATCAAATTCATGTTCGACATTTCCTGATGGTAATAGAAAAATACATGTTAGCAATCTTTTATCTCGAGAGATCTTATTTTGGAGCTTCTGCATTAATGCTCAAAAGGAGACTTTATTACTTTTTTTTGCATGCTCTCACAGATTAGGAATAGCATGGAGTTCATTTGCAATCCTAAAATCTTTAATACTGGGATTTAAAAAAAAAATCCTTTCTTCATTACCAGATTCGAACCAATACACTAAGGAAGAAAGTCATTACTACGACTGAAAAGAAAAAAGTAAGATGGGTTTTCCAGTTAGCGGTACAGAGCCTCATCATAAAGCTAGAGCTTTGATATGACCAGGTATCTGTCTTTTCAAGATAATTTTGCTGGTACCAGCTCTTTATATTCTTTTGATTTTACCCTGATGTAGCAGGTTAATTTTCATGGGCACTAGGACCTTGTTATAGTGAGGTTCAGCTGTATTTTCTTTCTGACTTACCTTTTGTAATTCTGGATCTTGTGTGTTGATTAGCTTGGGTAGTATGACAATAAAGACTACAGGCAAAACCATCATAAGCACCTGAAAATCAAAACAAACATGTAAAAATACAAGCCATTAACTTTGAGATAAATTTGTAGCTCTCTGTATGTGGTTTTAAAGGGATCCGGTAACTTTGTCTCAGATTCTGAAATAAAATTCTGGATTTAGCTCATGATGCAATGATAATTATAAACCTTTAGGTCAGTCAGGAACCCCATGACTTTAACAAGCCGATCGCCTGTCTGATTATCAAGATATTTATGATTGGAATTACAAATTTTGAAAACCGTTCGCCTGACGGTTTTCATAACACTACAGTCTATTGGGGAAAACGAGTATGGTAAAACCGGTCACTCAAAGATTTTTACTTTTTTGAGGCACTTCTTGATCATTTTGAAGCGCAATTTTTTTAGGGCTTCAATATTACACCATATCACAGACACTGATAACACGTAGGGCCGTGTATCTCAGATTTAAAAATGTTAAACGATCCCTTTAAAGGAAATTATAAACTTGCACAATTTAACCTTTTCCACACTGAACCAAAAATTCAACTTTCAAAACAAAATCTAAAATGATACGTGACCACACTGTTAGGGTTACAAAAATAAACATGTCAGATTATGTCTCAAAATAAAAACAACTTACATCAACTTGAAATAATAACATAATTGTCTACATTGTCAAAAGCAGCAATAAAAAAAAATATTAAGTGACCCCATTTGCTTAAGTTTTGCATCACTGGGTAAAAAAAAATACTCCTATTTGACTGAATAGTGGTTCAACATATGCTCCGAAGACAAGTGCATCGGGCATCATTTTATCCAAAATGTAGGATTAGGGTCAAGGTTGGGATTTTATGTTGGGTTTAGGGTTAGAGATAAGTACAGTGTTTAGTTCATTGTTGAAGCTGGGAATGTCACTGGTGTATACCATTGAGCATAGAGAAATCGTTGGCATAGCATATGTTGTACAATCAACTCACCATAGGGTTTTTTAGGACATCCACTATTTTAAACTCTTCTCTCTTCTGGAAATAACCTGCCAGCCCCTTACTCCTGACTTTCAGTGGGTAGGCAACCTGTACCACCGACTTGCTGTCGACGTTGTTCACTCTCCTAGCCCTGATCTTGCCCCTGGCAGAGATGTCTATTCTGGTGGCTTCAAACATATACTTAGGATGAGCGAACTCTACGATGTAGGATCCAGTAGGTACGTCGTGAACCTCGAAACTTCCATCCGATCTATTGATAGGAAAAGAAAGAAAACAATATTGCATATTCAGTAAAATGATAAGAAATATTGAGATTTGAGACTCTTAAAGTGCAAGGCAAGGTAAGTTAAACTGTAACTTAAAAATAAATCATCATAAAGTCACAGACTATTTTGCTATTTGCAGCAAGGCCCAGTACGCTCCAAGTCCGAGTTACATGTAGCTCGACTCCGTTTTCTGAAGTCATTGAGCACACAATATTCAATAAAGACAGTAAGGATCTAAATATCTTAAGCAGACTAGCATGAACATTTGCAAAATGATGATGTGTCCTCATTTTGGGTCACATAATATGCTGTAGATTACAGAAAAATGCTTTGTTCCCTCTAGCAGGAGAAATGCCGGTACCCCACGCCATAATAAAGGCTTCGCACTATGGCTATGCGCTCGCAATTGCGTACATTTCACGTCCCCTTTTCTGAAAATCATGGATGGATCCGCCGCTGGGCTGCTGATGATAGGGAGGCCAATGCCCGGGCGTAAGGCTTCTACACCTACGATTTGTGCGCTCGTCGTCCACTTCAAAAAATTAGCAGAGAGAAAAAAAATGATGTAAAAATAAAAATTGATGAAAATAAGAAAAGAAAATACAATGATACATTTCACAACATACCTATAATCACGGATCTGTAACTGTCTTTCACCATTTGTTGACGATCTTGCAGATTTTGACGTATTTGAATACAATAATTGGGCTAGCAGTAGACAATGACGGACGGGCACAACCGACTAAGAAAATCCTAGAGGGCGTAGAGATTTGCTCACTAAAAACCTTCTCATTGGCAGAAGGTAGACCCTAAAAATATGGGATCCGTTTTGAGTAAAGAACTTTTGATAGAGATCAACATTTCAGATGTTCACAATTGTCACTTCTAACAACTAGAAAATATAAAGAAAAAAGATTATATCTTTTTAAATACAGATTTATACAAACTGAACATTCGAAGGTAGATAGAGTACAATGTTTATGTCAATCTTGCGTTGGTTTGAGCCCCATAGCTACAGCCATCTCAAAATGAGAAGAAAAACAGTGAACAGTGATCTCATTGTTCTAGCCAAATACGGCGGTCTTGCGACATCATAATATGAATATGTATGAGCTCCAGTCATATCGCGCGCCAGACAAATCTCTCGTAGTCTCACAGCACTATAGACTCGAGTGTCGAGCTCGTGCAGTAAATCATGCATGAGAAATGTTTAAAAAAAAGATATTTTAGTAAAAAATGTCTACGTGAGCAGTCTATATTAACCCTGTAAACGATCATCGGATCGGCCGCCGATACCGATCCGATCAGGGGTGATCGGGGAAAAATTTCCGATCGCCGATCAATTAAAATGATCGGGAAAAAATCGGCAATTTTTTTTTTTTTATGACAAAAATTTTCAAGTTTTTAGCTGTCAAATGCTCAAAAAAAGTTCATGGCTGGGATTATTTTGTCATTTGGAGTTGTTGTAGACAATTATTGTTGATATTAAGTGCCTTTTCATGACTTTGAAATTAATAATATTGGTCTAAGAGCAGAGGCAAAACATGCGGGCCGCCATCTTGGATTATAATGTAGGTTTGTTTTTTTTTTTTAATGACGAAAATTTTCAAGTTTTGGCTATCAAATGCTCCAAAAAAGTTCATGGCTGGGATTATTTTGTCATTTGGAGTTGTTGTAGACCATGTTTGTTGATATTTAGTGCCTTTTCATGACTTTCAAATTAATAATATTGGTCTAAGAGCAGAGGCAAAACATGCGGGCCGCCAACTTGGATTATAATGCATACCTACATTATAATTCAAGATGGCGGCCTGTATGTTTTGCCTCTGCTCTTAGAGTTCTGGATCTGGATCTGGATCTGGATGTGTACGATGCAGGGCCCTACTGGGCATAAGCGCATCTGCAGGAAAGAAGTGGAGGTTTCTGCGAAGGAGGGATAGGACCCAGTTTGCCTTTTGGGTGGTCTTTGCAACATGTTTCTCCCACTTCAAATCCTCTGAGATTGTGACTCCCAGGTAACGGATGTCTTGGACATATTTCAGGATGTGGCCACTAAGTTGGTAGAAGAAGGAAGACTTGTTGCAGATGCTCATGGTGTAGCACTTCTTTGTGTTAAAACACATGCCCCACTTCTTTGCCCAGGCATCTAGGGCTGCAAGGTCATCTTGTAGGATGTGATGGTCTTGTTGCTTCTCGATTTGGCGGTAGAGGAGGCAGTCATCTGCAAACAGTCTAACTTGTGACTTCACAATTTCTGGTATGTCATTTACGTAGCACAGGAACATAAGGGGGCCTAGTACTGTCCCCTGAGGTACGCCTGAGTCAACATGAACATCATGGGAGGTCTCCCCTTCGACGACGACCCTCATGTGACGCTTAGTCAAAAAGTTCCTGAGCCATGTATGGATGGAGCCAGCGATTCCATATAATGAAGAGAGTTTGTGCATGAGCTTCTCATGGGGCACCTTATCAAACGCCTTTGAGAAGTCTAGCACTGCAATGTCTGTTTGTTTCCTTTGACCCTTTGATTTGAGTAGATCATGGAGGGCTGTTATCAGTTGCGTTTCTGTAGAGAATCCTGATCTAAAGCCATGGTTTAGGGAAGTGAGGATGTCATTGTCTTCCAGGTAGTCGAGGAGGTGTTTGCATATGATGTGTTCAAGGAGCTTGCAGGTGACAGAAGTCAATGAGATAGGGCGGTAATTTGCTGCTTGGTGTACATCACCACTTTTGAAGACTGGTGTGATGTTTGCTTGCAACCAGTCTGTTGGTAATTCACCAGTGTCCAGGGAAAGCTGGAATATCTCACTGAGGGCTGGTGCAAGCTGAGCGGCACACTCTCGAAGAATAATGTTATAATAATAGTTAGACCAATATTATTAATTTCAAAGTCATGAAAAGGCACTAAATATCAACAAACATGGTCTACAACAACTCAAAATGACAAAATAATCCCAGCCATAAACTTTTTTTTTAGCATTTGATAGCCAAAAACTTGAAAGTTTTCGTCATTAAAAAAAAAAAAAATACCTAAATTATAATCCAAGATGGCGGCCCGCATGTTTTGCCTCTGCTCTTAGACCAATATTATTAATTTCAAAGTCATGAAAAGGCACAAAATATCAACAAACATGGTCTACAACAACTCCAAATGACAAAATAATCCCAGCCGTGAACTTTTTTTGAGCATTTGATAGCCAAAAACTTGAAAAATTTTGTCATTTAAAAAAAAAAAAAAAAAAAAAAAAAAAAAAAAAAAAAAAAATTGGCCGATTTTTTTTTGTCGCTCTTCCGATCCGATACCGATCAAAGGTGCGAGAGTGTCGCTCCGATCTTCCGATCCTATCAGAGCCCCAACTTACAGGGTTAGTCTATACTCTAATTGAGAAGTTCGGTTGAAAAGACATGATTGGATGATGTGTTGTCAAGTATAGCCGGTCGGAGAAGAAGAAGGAGAGAGAGAGAGAGAGAGAGAGAGAGAGAGAGAGAGATATCCATGTAGCTAGGGTAGGGTACGTATGCGAGGTATAATGCATATCATTCCGGGGATTAAATAATGTGTTGTGCATTGTGCTGATTTTGGAGGTCGTTCTTGTTGGTTGTACAGTAGATCTCCGACTGAAATCATAAGGAATACTCATGAGGAAATCAAGTTATTGGAATACACATCTAAGGTAAATATCAATGAATTATATCTATTTCTTTCCTGCCAATTTTGATATCTCTTCTTCATTTTTGAACCATCGCCTTCGGCTCGTAGTAGTAGAAGATGTAATCGTTCTCACATTGATGGCTGGATTTCAGCCTGCATCGGGGCTTGCCTGTGTCGGTGTGTACGTGTGCGACCGATTCAAGGCTAGCCGCTGTTGAGTGATTGTACTTTTGCGCGAAGTTTTAAACATCATGAACTTTGTCCTGACAATGACACGCCCATTCCCTCGGACCTGTCCAATTATGAACATAATTTTGCGACATGAAATATAATTGTTTCAAGGCTCTTACGTACGGATAGGCGTAGAAGGAAATGCCTTCAAAAGAGCTGGATATCTCCTATTTTATGGAACTTATGGAGTCGGCAGATGGGTGAGTTGTCTTAGTGAAATAAAATGCTTTCTTTTAATCTTTGTTTTATTATAAACAAATTAGACCTAGGTCTAGTAATTAAAAAGTTAGATTTGGGCATTGGCCTCCCTACTGATGATACTGAGCGAACCAAAATGACAATAAAATTCAGGGCTTTAATTAGAATACCCAAATTCACAGCAAGAATCAACAAATAGTAAAATAAATTATAGGCCATTCAGTCCCATAGCATAGTCAACCACCGATCCAAAAATTCATTCACAAGTTCACGCTATTTACAGCTCAGCTCAGCTGCATTACCAGCGGATTCTCACCTGACAAAGCCGACGAACGCGCCGCCGTCCACCAGCACTTTCGTTAGCAGTACCCAGTCTGCGGGCTTGACACCCGGCACAGAAACCTTTCCTTCGATCTTAAAAGTCTCCATTTGTTTTTCATCATCAACTTCTTCTGAAGAACTATATGATATACTTATAAATAATATCATGAATAATGTCCACTTATCCATATTTCCTGTTGAAATCTATCAATAAATGTAGACCTAAGATTTGCTTTTTCCTACTGCTGTATGTAGTTGGACTAGACTGAACTAAACATTTTTGGGATAGAATGCATGAATGGACTTTATTTGAGATGGAGCAAGGTCCCAAAGTCCCAAACAAGGTTAATTTTCATTAATTTACCCACCAAATAAAGTAAGATACATTTAATTTTATTCAATTTCATTACTAGTAAGGGGTCATTTCAAATGAAACAGATATTTCTTCTTCACATTTGTAAGGATTCTATATAGCTATTATAATACCCCCTATAAAATCAATGGAATGATCATATCTCGATGAAGAACAAGATGGCAGCGCCCATGTTGATTTACAGACGAGGGGGTGGAGCTATCATTCCAGCCTTAATTTCGTCTTGTATGTATGATCTTCCATAAAATGATTATTTCCAATATATTCAAAAGTCATATGAGAAAAATGTAATAAAGTAGATATTCAGATTGCTCATATATTGATTTTTTATCTAAAGTTCTATGCTCTTAGCATTTTATGTAGACCCACTAACTGATTATGACTGTATGTAATGTTAATGAAAAGTTTTGGATTTTGAAAAAGGAGGGGGGGGGGGGTCGTTTAATAAGTGTCACTGATTTAGATCTACTGCATGTGTAATTGCTAATACTGTAATCTTACAAATCAATGTTGAAAGAACTGCTTCAGTGCTTGTTCGAAGTTTGAACAAAAATAATATTTTTTGTTACTATTGTCATTGTTAGAGAAGAATCTCGATGATGCCTGGCGTACATGATCAATGTAGATCTACATCTTTTAACTTTTGAGGGATTCGAAGGAGCCAGATGCAGTCTCAGTGGAACATATTCCCAACAAAATATATAGGCTGGCTATTTGGTCTAGGTAGGAATATTTGAGGGAACCCCACCAAAGCCTAGGCAGTGATGGAGCTTCCTTGACTTCGCGACTTGCTTCAATGGTCCATCCTCTACCAATATCATACTCCATTGACCTCTGTAGGCCTAGACTCCTCTAGATATTTTCTAGTGTCTTTTAACAATCATATAATTGAAACATTTTTTGTGTTTGTCAACGTGGATTTTTTTTCTCAGTGAAAGGACTGAACTGCAAAGAGACTTTGAGACCAAATCGGAAATTCATTCCCTTCAAGGCGGTGTACTTTTTGCTATGGTCAGGTAATTACAGTACGACATTACAGCTCACACCTGTTAGTAGACTGTACTCTTAGGAGGAGAAGAACTGAAGAAGCATACATACTTTGATCATATAGATTAAAGAAAAAAAATGAAAATGAATATATACCACATAGATTCAAAAGTATATGTTTCTCCTTTTTATTTTATTTTCAATTGTGTTAATTGTTAAATCTATCATTTCTCACCATCTATGAAACCTGTATAGTTTAGTATAGTAAATCCGTATTTTCTTTAGAAGAGTTTATTGATGGGAAGAAAAAAAGGTTTAGAAGAATTAAAATGTAAGAGGATTAGGAACTGATTATTGCCCAAGGATGTTTATCTCTCTGTCATGGGAATTCCATATTGATGTTGAGAAGAATAATATTTTAAATAACTTTGACATTAGCAACTTCATTCAAGAATGTAAAACTGTTCTCTAGATTTTGAAAACAACTTTGACTCTGCAGTATCATTTTTTCAAATTTGGCTCTAAGGGTTATTTCCATTTAACCCCCCCCCCCCCCCCCCCCCCCAAAAAAAAAAAAAAAAAAAAAAAAAAATCATTTTTATCTTTCACTCATATTCTTTTTGCAGGAACGGTGAGTCTTATACCCTTCCTGCCAGTCTACATGTCATATGTAGGTCTCAATCCTGTCCAAGTTGGTGTAGCACGTGGCATTGAACCATTCGTTGGGAGTTTTTCATCTCCTTTGTGTGGTAGCTTGGCAGATAAGTTTGGCATGCATAGATTCATCATGGTTAGCAGTATTATAGGGACAGGGCTCCTATATGGGAGCGGTGTTTTTGTGTCACTTATTAATACAGATCCAGCTGTGAATTGGACAAAGATTTCCAATGCTTCAGAAGAGGGATATCTTGGAGAGCTTCGAATTAGAAAGATATCAGTAGAACAGCAAGAGATGGACTCTACCTCAAGTCAAAAGCTAAAGAATCACACAACTTGTGACTTTTGTCATCACTGCCTTTCAAGTCATATGCAGGGTAAATTACCATGTAATATTATGAAGATAAATTTTGATTCAAAATTAATTGCTGGAACAAAGCATCAAAGCCTTGTAACCAATGAGTATAAATCTTTAGTTTCATGTTGCCTCTGCAGCTGTAGGTTAACAGATGAAACATTCAATGTATTAGTGCAAAAATTTGCCACAGACTACAATGTTGTAGAGAGAATCCATGAAATGTGCAGTACTGCCAATAAGTCCTCAAAAGCCATAAATCTTAGTTCACCTTCAGATACTTTGTTTTCTCAAAGTAAAGAAAAAACTGAAAAGAAAGACAGTACACTCACGTTTGTTCTGATGTTGGTGATTGTTCTCACTGGACAATTTGTGTCCAACCCTGCCGTCCCTTTACTGGATGCAGCCACCATGGCACTTGTGAAAGAATGCAACGACAGAGGGCGGAAGGTGGAGTACGGACATCAGAGATTATGGGGCGGATTCGCCTGGGGTGTCTTCGCACCCCTCTCAGGACTCGCTATTGACACCTACTCTGCAGCGTATCCTGAGTCTTTCAACAAGTATCTTCCAGCTTTCATTTTCTTTGTCGCACTTGTTTTCCTGTCCGTCGTACCTGCATTGTGCATCAGCTTTCTTCCGCACCAACCTCCAGAGTCACTCGCAAGTAACCTCGGCACCCTGATCCGAAAACCCAAGGTGCTCGTCTTCCTGTACGCTATGTTCATCACAGGGGTATCTGTGGGTGTCATCAGTACCTACCTCTTCTTGTTCCTTGCTGAACTCTCTGGAAGTCACACCCTCATGGGACTGACACTTACCCTGACAAGTGTGGCTGAAGTCCCTTTCATGTTCTTTGCTACCAAGCTCATTGAGAGACTTGGACACCGTGGGGTCTTTGTTCTGACCCTGTTTTGCTATACGGTGAGGTTTGCTGGCTACTCTCTCCTGCATAACCCGTGGCTTGTTTTGCCCATAGAGCTCCTCCATGGCATCACCTATGGTGCTCTCTGGCCAGCTTGTACCTCCTACATCAACCTCATCACCCCTGACAACATGCTGACTTCAATGCAATCTATCACATTTGGAATCAAATGTGGTTTAGGTAAGCATTAGTTAAATTGTACTCAGTGGTACGGCTACAGGGGGCAGTCAACCTTCAATGGCTTTCCCACCCACTCCTGCCCCCCTCCCTCAAACGGAAAAGACAGATAAAATTAGCAAAGATAAGAGGAAGAGAAATAATGTGATAAGAAGATTGGATGATAAATAATTTCTAATGTAGATCTGTTTCACATCTGATTCATTAATTGTATCAAATGAAATACAAAACTAGTCAGACCGATTTCCATGGCTTTAAACTGGGCTCACATTATGGCACTGTCTCTATGAGTTTCTTCTATATTGACAGTGTACTGAAGATGCTTTTAAATTCTTTCTTGACTTATGTGGGCATGGTTATTAATATCAATACAGTGAGCTGACAAGGAACTTTACGTGGGGTTTTGGAGCCAGTGTGCTACTTAAAGAAACAATTTTCTTCATGCCTGCACACTATCTGTCGGGGAATGATCACATGATTGATCTCTAAATTCAATCAGAATCTCAGAAAGGCATTTTGTTAAACACTTGATCAAAACAATCACTTCTTACGTTGTCTTCCATTCTAACCTCCAACACCCCAAATCCCCAATCCTGTCCTTTCCTCCACATCCAGGTAACGGTGTGGGGACATTGCTGGGTGGAGTCATCTACCACCTTTATGGAGCTAGGAACCTATTCCGAGGATCAGCCGTCTTATGTATGGCAACTATGATCTTCTACTGGCCAGTGAGTGCTTATCTCGATAGACTAGATGAAGTCAGAGAGCGTCAAATACAGTATGAATAAATATGATACGATTTGCCTATGCATTTGGGCGAGTCCAAGGTCTAAATTCATTTGGTGTTATTTCACATCATATTTAGTCTGATTCAAACTCTGAGTTAGGCTGTTATCTTAATACTTGTAACCATCATTAAAATCTTAGATGTTGATGGTAACGCATTGGACCAAATAAATTTGGCTGGGCCATTTTGATGAAATAGTATTCAATGGACATGATAGTGCCTTGATTTTTATGATTACTTGCCATTTGTAATTTGTTATCTATGCTTTCTTTCATGAAGCTTATACATGTATATTCAGCGTGACCTTGTTATTAAGACAAGGAGTTTGTAATAATGAGGTTCAACTGCAAAACCTTTAATATATTTTTGCATATTCATTTTCAGTGATGATTTAGAATAAGAAAGAACTGAGTATTGCCCATCATTATTTTACTCTTTCTGTTTGAATCTGTAGAAATCAGTATTACCCATCATTATTTTACTCTTGCTGTTTGAATCTGTAGAAATCAGTATTACCCATCATTATTTTACTCTTGCTGTTTGAATCTGTAGAAATCAGTATTACCCATCATTATTTTACTCTTGCTGTTTGAATCTGTAGAAATCAGTATTACCCATCATTATTTTACTCTTGCTGTTTGAATCTGTAGAAATCAGTATTACCCATCATTATTTTACTCTTGCTGTTTGAATCTGTAGAAATCAGTATTACCCATCATTATTTTACTCTTGCTGTTTGAATCTGTAGAAATCAGTATTACCCATCATTATTTTACTCTTGCTGTTTGAATCTGTAGAAATCAGTATTACCCATCATTATTTTACTCTTGCTGTTTGAATCTGTAGAAATCAGTATTATCCATTATTATTCTTCTCTTGTCGTTTGAATCTGTAAAAATCATATTGCACAAGGAATAATAAATTAGTCGTCCATGATGCCAAATTATTTCATTCAGTTCAGTTTAAGTTGTTGATATCACTCTTTTAGTAGTAGCTATACAAACTAATTCCTGACAATGTCATTTGGAAATGTGTGTCCATCAATGTTTGGGTTAAAATGACCTAGTAATTTGGTCATGTTGTTTTGGTCAAAATAATAAAATGAAATAGCAAGTTCGGTAAAGATCTTGATTGAACCCATCACAAGCAGAGTTTGATGTTTGGGGGGGGGGGGGGGCACATACATGTAATCAATCGAGGTCAAAAAAAGGGGTCTAAAAAAGTTCAACCGATCTTGGAAAAATGTTGGGGGCACGTGCCCCCCATGCCCCCCCCCCCATCCCCCCCCCCCCCCCCCCCAATGCCTGATCACAAGGACTTTCAAGAATTCAGCTCAGGAAATGTCAATACCCTGTTGACTTTTGAAATGCCTATAAAAATCAAGTTTAGATTGTATATTACATCATTGTAATGTTTGCATATTTCAATAGGAGTTGCACCAGGTTATTGAAATTGCCTTATGTTGATATTGTTTTTAATCATTGTAATCATGTTGTTAAATTACTATTAAATTATTATATTCATAAATAAAAGGTTATCAGCAGGGCACTTGAAGTGGGAAAGTATAAGTATAATTTATTTTCATACATATTTAAGAAGAAAAATATATGTAAATGCCAAATATTATTAGCTTGAATTGTAAACCTGTGTTTTTGTGCATTATTTCATGTGACAAATGTAATCAAGTTTGCCTTGAAAATGTTATGAATGTGAGACCTAGATTGGAAACTGTCAGGGAGTTAGTGAAAGTGAAAGAAATGTTTGTGAAGAGAATAAGAATGAGAGAAAGAAAAAGAAAGAGAAATAATAAGTGTGGAGAGAATAAGAATGAGAGATGGAGAAAGAAAGAGAAAGCTTAAGAGTGGAGGGAACAAGAATGAGAGATGGAGAAAGAAAGAGAAGCATATTAAGAGTGGAGAGAATAAGAATGAGAGATGGAGAAAGAAAGAGAAAGAATATAAGTGTGGGGGGGGGATAAGAATGAGAGATAGAGAAAGAAAGAGAAAGCATATAAGTGTGGAGAGAATAAGAATGAGAGATGGAGAAAGAAAGAGAAGCCTAAGTGTGGAGAGAATAAGAATGAGAAATGGAGAAAGAAAGAGAAAGCCTAAGAGTGGAGAGAATAAGAATGAGAGATAGAGAAAGAAAGAGAAAGCATATAAGTGTGGGGAGAATAAGAATGAGAGATAGAGAAAGAAAGAGAAGCATAAGTGTGGGAGAGAATAAGAATGAGAGATGGAGAAAGAAAGAGAAAGCCTAAGAGTGGGGAGAATAAGAATGAGAGGTAGAGAAAGAAAGAGAAAGCATATAAGTGTGGAGAGGATAAGAATGAGAGATAGAGAAAGAAAGAGAAAGCATATAAGTGTGGAGAGAATAAGAATGAGAGATAGAGAAAGAAAGAGAAAGCACATAAGTGTGGAGAGAATAAGAATTAGAGATAGAGAAAGAAAGAGAAAGCATATAAGTGTGGGGAGAATAAGAATGAGAGGTAGAGAAAGAAAGAGAAAGCATATAAGTGTGGAGAGAATAAGAATGAGAGATAGAGAAAGAAAGAGAAGCATAAGTGTGGAGAGAATAAGAATGAGAGATGGAGAAAGAAAGAGAAAGCCTAAGAGTGGAGAGAATAAGAATGAGAGATAGAGAAAGAAAGAGAAAGCATATAAGTGTGGGGAGAATAAGAATGAGAGATAGAGAAAGAAAGAGAAAGCATATAAGTGTGGAGAGAATAAGAATGAGAGATGGAGAAAGAAAGAGAAGCCTAAGTGTGGAGAGAATAAGAATGAGAAATGGAGAAAGAAAGAGAAAGCCTAAGAGTGGAGAGAATAAGAATGAGAGATAGAGAAAGAAAGAGAAAGCATATAAGTGTGGGGAGAATAAGAATGAGAGATAGAGAAAGAAAGAGAAGCATAAGTGTGGGAGAGAATAAGAATGAGAGATGGAGAAAGAAAGAGAAAGCCTAAGAGTGGGGAGAATAAGAATGAGAGGTAGAGAAAGAAAGAGAAAGCATATAAGTGTGGAGAGGATAAGAATGAGAGATAGAGAAAGAAAGAGAAAGCATATAAGTGTGGAGAGAATAAGAATGAGAGATAGAGAAAGAAAGAGAAAGCACATAAGTGTGGAGAGAATAAGAATTAGAGATAGAGAAAGAAAGAGAAAGCATATAAGTGTGGGGAGAATAAGAATGAGAGGTAGAGAAAGAAAGAGAAAGCATATAAGTGTGGAGAGAATAAGAATGAGAGATAGAGAAAGAAAGAGAAGCATAAGTGTGGAGAGAATAAGAATGAGAGATGGAGAAAGAAAGAGAAAGCCTAAGAGTGGAGAGAATAAGAATGAGAGATAGAGAAAGAAAGAGAAAGCATATAAGTGTGGGGAGAATAAGAATGAGAGATAGAGAAAGAAAGAGAAAGCATATAAGTGTGGAGAGAATAAGAATGAGAGATGGAGAAAGAAAGAGAAGCCTAAGTGTGGAGAGAATAAGAATGAGAGATGGAGAAAGAAAGAGAAAGCCTAAGAGTGGAGAGAATAAGAATGAGAGATAGAGAAAGAAAGAGAAAGCATATAAGTGTGGAGAGAATAAGAATGAGAGATAGAGAAAGAAAGAGAAAGCATATAAGTGTGGAGAGAATAAGAATGAGAGATGGAGAAAGAAAGAGAAAGCCTAAGTGTGGAGAGAATAAGAATGAGAGATGGAGAAAAAAAGAGAAAGCATATAAGTGTGAGGAGAATAAGAATGAGAGATAGAGAAAGAAAGAGAAAGCATATAAGTGTGGAGAGAATAAGAATGAGAGATGGAGAAAGAAAGAGAAGCCTAAGTGTGGAGAGAATAAGAATGAGAGATGGAGAAAGAAAGAGAAAGCCTAAGAGTGGAGAAAATAAGAATGCCAAATATTATTAGCTTGAATTGTAAACCTGTGTTTTTGTGCATTATTTCATGTGACAAATGTAATCAAGTTTGCCTTGAAAATGTTATGAATGTGAGACCTAGATTGGAAACTGTCAGGGAGTTAGTGAAAGTGAAAGAAATGTTTGTGAAGAGAATAAGAATGAGAGAAAGAAAAAGAAAGAGAAATAATAAGTGTGGAGAGAATAAGAATGAGAGATGGAGAAAGAAAGAGAAAGCTTAAGAGTGGAGGGAATAAGAATGAGAGATAGAGAAAGAAAGAGAAGCATAAGAGTGGAGAGAATAAGAATGAGAGATGGAGAAAGAAAGAGAAAGAATATAAGTGTGGGGGGGGGGGGATAAGAATGAGAGATAGAGAAAGAAAGAGAAAGCATATAAGTGTGGAGAGAATAAGAATGAGAGATGGAGAAAGAAAGAGAAGCCTAAGTGTGGAGAGAATAAGAATGAGAGATGGAGAAAGAAAGAGAAAGCCTAAGAGTGGAGAGAATAAGAATGAGAGATAGAGAAAGAAAGAGAAAGCATATAAGTGTGGGGAGAATAAGAATGAGAGGTAGAGAAAGAAAGAGAAAGCATATAAGTGTGGAGAGGATAAGAATGAGAGATAGAGAAAGAAAGAGAAAGCATATAAGTGTGGAGAGAATAAGAATGAGAGATAGAGAAAGAAAGAGAAAGCACATAAGTGTGGAGAGAATAAGAATTAGAGATAGAGAAAGAAAGAGAAAGCATATAAGTGTGGGGAGAATAAGAATGAGAGGTAGAGAAAGAAAGAGAAAGCATATAAGTGTGGAGAGAATAAGAATGAGAGATAGAGAAAGAAAGAGAAGCATAAGTGTGGAGAGAATAAGAATGAGAGATGGAGAAAGAAAGAGAAAGCCTAAGAGTGGAGAGAATAAGAATGAGAGATAGAGAAAGAAAGAGAAAGCATATAAGTGTGGAGAGAATAAGAATGAGAGATGGAGAAAGAAAGAGAAAGCCTAAGTGTGGAGAGAATAAGAATGAGAGATAGAGAAAGAAAGAGAAAGCATATAAGTGTGGAGAGAATAAGAATGAGAGATAGAGAAAGAAAGAGAAGCATAAGTGTGGAGAGAATAAGAATGAGAGATGGAGAAAGAAAGAGAAAGCTTAAGAGTGGAGGGAATAAGAATGAGAGATGGAGAAAGAAAGAGAAAGCATATAAGTGTGGGGGGGGGGATAAGAATGAGAGATAGAGAAAGAAAGAGAAAGCATATAAGTGTGGAGAGAATAAGAATGAGAGATGGAGAAAGAAAGAGAAGCCTAAGTGTGGAGAGAATAAGAATGAGAGATGGAGAAAGAAAGAGAAAGCCTAAGAGTGGAGAGAATAAGAATGAGAGATAGAGAAAGAAAGAGAAAGCATATAAGTGTGGGGAGAATAAGAATGAGAGGTAGAGAAAGAAAGAGAAAGCATATAAGTGTGGAGAGAATAAGAATGAGAGATAGAAAAAGAAAGAGAAAGCATATAAGTGTGGGGAGAATAAGAATGAGAGATAGAGAAAGAAAGAGAAGCATAAGTGTGGAGAGAATAAGAATGAGAGATGGAGAAAGAAAGAGAAAGCTTAAGAGTGGAGGGAATAAGAATGAGAGATGGAGAAAGAAAGAGAAAGCATATAAGTGTGGGGGGGGGGATAAGAATGAGAGATGGAGAAAGAAAGAGAAAGCCTAAGAGTGGAGAGAATAAGAATGAGAGATAGAGAAAGAAAGAGAAGCATAAGTGTGGGAGAGAATAAGAATGAGAGATGGAGAAAGAAAGAGAAAGCCTAAGAGTGGAGAGAATAAGAATGAGAGATAGAGAAAAAAAGAGAAAGCATATAAGTGTGAGGAGAATAAGAATGAGAGATAGAGAAAGAAAGAGAAAGCATATAAGTGTGGAGAGAATAAGAATGAGAGATGGAGAAAGAAAGAGAAGCCTAAGTGTGGAGAGAATAAGAATGAGAGATGGAGAAAGAAAGAGAAAGCCTAAGAGTGGAGAAAATAAGAATGAGAGATAGAGAAAGAAAGAGAAAGCATATAAGTGTGGAGAGAATAAGAATGAGAGATGGAGAAAGAAAGAGAAAGCCTAAGAGTGGAGAGAATAAGAATGAGAGATAGAGAAAAAAAGAGAAAGCATACAAGTGTGAGGAGAATAAGAATGAGAGATAGAGAAAGAAAGAGAAAGCATATAAGTGTGGAGAGAATAAGAATGAGAGATAGAGAAAGAAAGAGAAAGCATATAAGTGTGGAGAGAATAAGAATGAGAGATGGAGAAAGAAAGAGAAGCCTAAGTGTGGAGAGAATAAGAATGAGAGATGGAGAAAGAAAGAGAAAGCCTAAGAGTGGAGAGAATAAGAATGAGAGATAGAGAAAGAAAGAGAAAGAATATAAGTGTGGGGAGAATAAGAATGAGAGGTAGAGAAAGAAAGAGAAAGCATATAAGTGTGGAGAGAATAAGAATGAGAGATAGAGAAAGAAAGAGAAAGCATATAAGTGTGGAGAGAATAAGAATGAGAGATGGAGAAAGAAAGAGAAAGCCTAAGAGTGGAGAGAATAAGAATGAGAGATAGAGAAAAAAAGAGAAATAATAAGTGTGGAGAGAATAAGAATGAGAGATAGAGAAAGAAAGAGAAAGCATATAAGTGTGGAGAGAATAAGAATGAGAGATGGAGAAAGAAAGAGAAGCCTAAGTGTGGAGAGAATAAGAATGAGAGATAGAGAAAGAAAGAGAAAGCATATAAGTGTGAGGAGAATAAGAATGAGAGATGGAGAAAGAAAGAGAAGCCTAAGTGTGGAGAGAATAAGAATGAGAGATAGAGAAAAAAAGAGAAATAATAAGTGTGGAGAGTTTAAGAAAGAGAGATGGAGAAAGAAAGAGAAATAATAAGTGTGGAGAGAATAAGAATGAGAGATAGAGAAAGAAAGAGAAATAATAAGTGTGGAGAGTATAAGAATGAGAGATGGAGAAAGAAAGAGAAGCATAAGTGTGGAGAGAATAAGAATGAGAGATAGAGAAAAAAAGAGAAATAATAAGTGTGGAGAGTATAAGAATGAGAGATAGAGAAAGAAAGAGAAATAATAAGTGTGGAGAGAATAAGAATGAGAGATAGAGAAAAAAAGAGAAATAATAAGTGTGAGGAGAATAAGAATGAGAGGTAGAGAAAGAAAGAGAAAGCATATAAGTGTGGAGAGAATAAGAATGAGAGATAGAAAAAGAAAGAGAAAGCATATAAGTGTGGAGAGAATAAGAATGAGAGATAGAGAAAGAAAGAGAAATAATAAGTGTGGAGAGAATAAGAATGAGAGATGGAGAAAGAAAGAGAAGCATAAGTGTGGAGAGAATAAGAATGAGAGATGGAGAAAGAAAGAGAAATAATAAGTGTGGAGAGAATAAGAATGAGAGATGGAGAAAGAAAGAGAAAGCATATAAGTGTGAGGAGAATAAGAATGAGAGATGGAGAAAGAAAGAGAAGCCTAAGTGTGGAGAGAATAAGAATGAGAGATAGAGAAATAATGAGTATGGAGAGAAGAAGAATTTGAGATAGAAAAAGAAAGTCAAAGCATAGGCTTGAAAAAAAATATGAATGAGAGATAGAGAAAGAATGAACACAATCAAGCAAAAGCTTATTATAAGGCGAAAAAACAACTTTTGTATTCAAAATAATGTGTAGGAAATTAGTTGATTTATAGTTTATAGGGCCTTTCCTCATTTTTATAAAATATTCTAAAAAGTCCGTTTGCTATATCCTTTGAATTTGTTGATGCCATCGCATTAATAATAAAACATAGAAATTAGCAAACCTTAAAAAAAAAAATTTCATAAACTGCCATTTCATCTTTTGATTTACCAACAAAAATACAAAAACTCAGGTATACATTTTCAAACTTTTTAAAGGGATATAAACAGGATAGGAAAGAGAAGAAGAGGAAGGCAGAAGAGAAGATGGAGAGATGACATAACATCATATACATGGGAACGGCCGCTTGGACTATAGGACAGCTAGAGACAGAAGAGAATGAAAATGTTATGAGGAGGGCTTTGTCCATACCCCGGCCCCCCCACTCAGAGGTCGGAATGACCGCATGCGTGTTGCCAAAATGTCCGGTAAAGGGGTACTTTTCGTGCGACAAAGTCCGGCCCGAGAATTGTAAAAAAAGGGGTGTATTTGACTTTTCACCCGGAGATTTCTTTAAAAAGGGGGTGTTTTTCTTTTTTTCTCTCATCTCTTTGGACTCCTAAGAAATTATTCCGAATTTAGGGGGGTACATTGAGCATTTTTCCTGATTTAGGGGGGTCTCCAAGGCAGGAAAAGCACGCGAAAAGCCCGCGAAAGGGGGGTTCGGAAATGTTGGCAGTCCTCAGATAGGGGGTGCTTTCAAAAAAAGGGTACGAGCATATGCGTACCCTAAATAACACTGAGTGGGGGGGGGGGGGGGGGGCCGGGGTCCATACAACGTCTGGATGAACTATAGCCTGATAGATAGATAGATAGATCAAAAGGGAAATTAGGTGAAATATTCGGTTTCGATTTGATTGCGATTAATAACCTGATATGGATTGTGCATGAGTTGACTAGTTGACTGAGAATTACATGTTATTCAAGATCATGGATTCAGTAAAAATGTGTTTTATCTCGGTAAGCGTTGGTATAAGGCCAAAACATTTCTTGATTTTTGGTAAAATATATAGGCACATGTCAAGGGTTATCCCCATTTTTCTTGACTTTTAAAGTGATCAACATGAAATCAAGCATTTGAACTGTAAATTGGTATAGTTGCGATCAAGTTATATTGAGACATTCATCAACGACACAATGAAATGTTACGGATCATTATACAAAAATAAATGAATAAAAAACCCACTAAACGTAATTTCAAAATAAATACACATAAAATTCCTCTCAAATATATTGGAAATGCTGAGCAATGTCTGAGAAATGTCAGACAGGAAACTGCTGATGTCAATACGGGGGCTTCGGAGCGCCTTTGAAATAGTGGGGGTGTACCAAAAAAAAAACCCCAACTCATATCTGTACAGAGTGACCTCAAAGCAACAACAAAAAATACACATAGATACATTTTTATACATTGATAGGCCTATACCCTACATTGTAATTCATATATTATATGGGATGGTCTTCGAGATTTTCCCTCAATAAATTATGTGGTCCAAGCTTTTTTTTTAAATTAAAACAAAAAGATCTGTGAGGTCGTATTATTGGTGTTATTTAGATGAAATCACCAATCCTGACGTGGTTTTAAGCACAATCTCATAATAAAAGAATGAATAAAACCTTTAATGTGCTTAATTAGATATATAAATGCAAGTGAGCGATATTTGGTGAAATTGGTTTAAACAAATTGCTTTTGGGGCGGCTACGAGAAATCTATTGTTTCGGGGGAGATGAGGGGTATATAAAATCATCAGTATGCGGGTCAAGGGGGGGGGGGGGGGGGGTTGTGCCCCTTTTCCCCAGAGCGCCAACTCTATGTTAATTACAATAATACATAATTATGTCATGAAAGTCAGTGGTATAGTCAGAAATCTCGTGCAACCCCTTGAATGCGCGCAGATCCGTTGCACTATCTGACAAGGGAAATCCCCTAGTTTTACAGCAGACGGTATAGTCTTTTTGTTCCTATAAATTATTACATCGTAGTCTTCTTCCCCATTTGCACATGAAATCATAAGAAAAAAGAAAAAAGTCATTTTTGAATATGAAACGAATGCTGGTAGATATATGTAGTTAATAAATGATTGCCTGGTTGATTTATATGAGCAATTGTTATTTTCCCTCCCCTGGAAGATAGGCTTGTTGTTCTCATTCTGTTTCAGCAGACGACACCGGTCGACTCGACTGCAAGGCATAATTACTAATAATAGTACATAGGCCTACTGCAGACATTTTGTGTGCATTTGTTCCCAAGGTTAATGTGTTACCACGCAAGCTTCCAACAACGGCATCATGAAAATATGAATCAGCCATCTGAAATAAAGTTTTGTGCGGTATCAAATTGTGTTACGTTGAATATCTCTTGATGAATTAGGAGCAGATGTAGGCCAATAATAGGCATTACTCCATTGACTTGACCAAGTGCTATCGTGTCTGGTGTGGGCCAACATCGCCCCCGGAGTTGAACGCATCCGCTTGCCCAATATCCGCTAACGCAGCAGTCCGGCGAGTCTTTGATTGGCATTTTTTTATTATGGACTTCAACTTAGATAAAAACACGAGGTTATGGTAATTCATGAATCCAGTAATTCAACGCAAATACAACATGGTTGTTCCTAGTCTGATATATAAAACTGGTGGAGCAGCTGTCATTCCAGCCATTTCGGAAGCAGGTAAAAATAAAACTATAGAAATCCATTATTATGCTTGCATGTAGGTCTAGTGCACTGTTCTTTTGTCCTGTTCTATACTTTTTTAAATATTTATTTCAACATAGACCTTTGCTCTGAAATTGTTTGTGTGTCTTTTGAAGTTCTATAAACTACTTTACTTCATTGAAATATCATGAACTAAACTTATTTACATTAAACAGGATATCTATTTTTTTAAACAGGGAATCCAATTTGATTGTGCACATGCTTCTGGAGCATATTAACAAGTTTAGTCATCTATTAATTCCATGACTAAACAGTCTGCTCAGAAACGAACTAGATTCATGTCAGAATCATTTAAATCTTTGAGATTAAGTTTGCACAATAAAAGGTTTGTTGATGTTTTGAGAAATATTAGTATACTTAAACCGAAAACTTCAGTCTCTCTAGTCGTCGGTTGTTCCACTGAGACTACGTCTGGCTCCACTAGACCTCCGATTCAACAAATGTCAGTTTTATTAAAGAAATGACCCAAATCAGATGGTTATTTCTGTCTATAGTATACTATACATTTGTGTTTCATTTCACAGTTTCTTTTACTCAAGTTGCCTCTTAACTTTAAAAAAAAATTCTGACTGATGTTGCAATGTTCACAAATCACAATTCAAGTGATTTCTGATATAGAGCCAACATTTGGGCTTTTTTATGGTCAACCTTCAAGGATATCTGACCATTAGACTCTTTTTATTGCTTTTTATGATTATCCTATCTGACAAAGATGGGAAGAATTGATAAGATCTGACATATCGTCGCTGTTTTCACGAAGTGACGGTGGTGAAAAAAAATTGCATTCACTTTGCGTTACGATTTTCCTCACTACCGTCACTTCGTGAAAATAGGGACGATATAATGGACTTCTGGATCCTTACCCTTATGCCTGTTAATTGTCCAAATAGCAAAATTAAGGAGTTTTCAACATATTTTTTTCTGAAATAAGGAATTCATACGATTAAGTACATTGTATATTTTTTTTATGATGAAAGATATTGCACCTCTCTTCTTTATCATGTCAAGTTACTTTTAAAAATTCATCAGACATTTTTTTTTATAATACAGCGAGCAAGCTAGAGAAACCAAAGGTCAACAAACTGTTCTTGCCCATCAAAGCTGTTTACTTTTGGATATTTTCAGGTGAGTTAATTGGGTGTCATCAATTTTATGATGTAAGTTGAGAGCCAGAAGGATGTAAACCATGTGTTAAACTATATGAGTTAATGACCTCCTGGCACTAAGCAGGTGATTAGTCTGATGCTATCTGATAGAGTAGAGTAGTCTGGCATACATAGGGTCGTAGTTGAGTGGTTTTGTGTGCTCGATTCCCGACACGGCACTAATATCCTTTGGCAAGGCATTGATCTATATTTGCAACTCCATACCCAGGAGAGAACTGGGGACCTGGTAGGATGACAAAAGCCTCTGTGTTAGTTTACATATGCCCTCGTAGCGATCGTTATGGTAGGGAGTGGAGATGGTGCACATTGTGTGTAAATGAATTTGATGACCAGGGTAAAAATATCTGTACAGCGCTTAGAGAAGATAATTTGTATGAATTAAGCACCTTTTGCACAATTTTTTAGCAAAGTGTTAATTGTTTAAATACACTGAACACTGCACAAATGCATGAATTCAAATTCGGAACTATTCCAGCTAGAGAACTACCTGTTCTCTACTTTCTACTTCTCATAAATTAAAGAGATAACATTACTCTTTAAATTGGCAGTAACTCAAAACTTAATTACAACAAGTAACAAGCTCAACTTTGCACATTGTGAAACTTGATACTGTTTTTATTTGGAGCTAGTTTCATATCATATTGCATTAAAATTTCGAATAAGTTTCACTTCTTAATAATTAAAGACCATAGCACCTGTGCATATCTGTACGGTAATTAGTTCTGTACACAACAACACCAAAATGCATCACATATGTTATTCCAAAGCTATTTCAGACAAGAACATCTTGAAGTAATAGTGACTAAGGGGAGCAAAAGATGGAGACCCATGCACTGGCGTACTTGTGATGGGGGGGGGGGGGGGCACTTGCCCTCCTAAATAAGATTAAAATATGGTTTATTTCTAAATTGATACCAGTGATTAACACATGTTGCTGAAATTACATGATTTTCCGTTTTTTTTGTGCTCACTTTTGCCCATTATGCCACCTGACGTTGATGCAGATTTTGTCCCCCCCCCCCCCATTTTATTGTGCTCATTACGCCACTGGAACCGTGTTTGTTGTGTCCTGTAGTAATTTACTAGTGAATTAATTACTGATACAAGGTATTTCTTTTTGGCCAATTCCCAACAGAATGATGAAGATAATGATAAAAAATAACTGCATTGATGACAGGCCTTACTATTCATTTTTTAAATAAAAAGTGGTTGAATTATTCGCATTGAATATCTTGTGAATTGCTTACAAACTTATATAGGAAAGATTAAATGTAAGATAATGTCTTCTACCATGTGAAAAGAGAAATTTTGACTTTTTCTTAGAACATATTTCTGCTTTGTAAGCCATTATTTTTCCTTTATAAATATGATCTTGGATTATTTTTAATTACTGTGTTTTCTTTGTTTACTACCACCTAGGAAGTGCCTTTATCCTGCCTTTCTTTCCAGTCTACATGACATACATAGGACTCAGCACAATTCAGACGGGCCTCATTCAGGGCCTGGTCCCATTCATTAGGAGCGTCGCAGGGCCATTCTGGGGCAGCCTGGCTGACAAGTCCGGCAAGCACAAGACCATCATGCTCGCCAGTATGATCGTTTCAACCCTCATCTACGGAAGCTTGGTATTTCTGCCTCTTCTGAATCGTGACAGAACTACAGTCTGGACGAATGTAACTGATGCTGGGGATAGAGACATTCATCATTTAGAGTTGATTGACGATGTGGAGTCCTTGGCAAAATCGTTAGACTGCGAAGATGTTATTCATAATAGCAATGATTGCAATGAGCTTGATGAGAGTTTAAAGGTGGACTTAGGACAATGCTTTCGAATAATATCTTCTAGTAATATTTTCAGCAATGATATAGGTATTCAAAAGAACAGGACTCATATTCCTTGGGGTATTCAAGGGTGCAACATGTGTCTGATGTGCAATAATGTTAAAGTGGAATTTTTGGAAAAGGGTCATGGTCTAAACGAAAAGTGCCATCAAATATTCAATATGTTTATGTCAAAGTGCTCTTCAAAGTGGTATAAATCTAATAGTTTGCATCAATCAAGTCCTGTAATTCTTGGTGTCCTCTACCAGGATGATCCAGTGTCTCCAAATTCTCAGCCGTTTAACAAAAACACCACTGCTGTGTTTGCCACCATGATGGCACTGATCTTCACCGGTTGTTTCTTCAAGAGTCCCACTGCCCCGATCCTAGATGCCACCACCATGGTGCTAGTCAAGGAGCTCAAGGAGGTTGGTATTGAGGCGGACTACGGGAGGCAGAGGCTGTGGGGTGCGGTCGCCTGGGGTAGCGTGTCACCCCTGGCAGGAGTCCTCATAGACGTCTACGCTACCAATGTCTCTTCCTTCAACCAATACCTTCCAGGATTCTGTATGTACGTTCTTGTCTACTTCCTGGCCTTTGTCTGTGCCACCCGCATCAAGGTCCCAAAGCATGTTCCTCCTGCGAAATCCGTCTCCAGCAACATACGTGTGGTCCTCGGTAAGGCCAACATCCTTGTATTCTTCTTCGCCATCGCAGTCACAGGAATATCTGTTGGGTTGCTTTCCACGTACCTCTTCCTTTTCCTCGCTGAGCTGTCAGGGTCACACACACTAATGGGTCTCACGTTAACCTTGACCTGCATATCTGAAGTCCCCTTCATGTTCTTTGCCACCAAGCTCATCGAGAAACTTGGCCATCGTGGCGTCATAACGCTCACACTCTTCTGTTACGCTGTCCGCTTTGGCGGTTATTCCCTGATCCAAAACCCATGGCTGGTGCTGCCCATCGAGCTTCTCCATGGCGTGACCTTTGGTGCCTTGTGGCCTACGATCACATCCTACTGCATCCTGGCAGCCCCTGAGGGGATGACCACTACAATGCAGTCTCTTGCTTATTCTGCCAAAGTTGGAATTGGTAAGCATTTATAATTGCAGAAGCCTTTATAGCTTTCATTACTGTAAGTGACCCAGTCATATACATATTGAACAGGTTAAAAAAAAAGATGTATTAATGACACCAACGTTCACAATCATTCAGATGTAAATGAATGTAATATCACTTTTCTTATGTGAATTAAAAAATGCTTCATTAAATTTATTCAAACAAGATCCTTTAGATTTCTACATGTACATCTTTTATTTTTTGTTGCTTTTAAGCACTTTTAAATAGCTTTGCTATATGTGTGATAATGATACTCAGCGCTTTGCATCCTTGAGAAAAGGGCAGAGTGATCCAATTATTCTCTTCCTTCTCCTCCTGTTTGTACTTGTTGTTCTTCGTCCTCTTTTTTGTCTTCTTCTCCTCTCCTACTCATTGTCTTCCTCCCCTTAGCCTTAATACCAACAAAAGTTACCTTTAGTTGTAAAATGGAAATCTGAACCTTTAAGAGGTCAAAGGTCAAATGGTTTTAACTCGTTCCATAAACCTTTTCTCATTACAGGAATGGGAGTAGGGACAATAGCTGGGGGTGTCATCTACCATGCATATGGAGCCAGAAACCTGTTCAGAGGGGCGGCCATCTTGTGCCTAGTGACCATGGTCTTCTACTGGCCGACCAGTTTCTACCTCGACAGACGTGATGTACGAAGGGCTCGACAGATACAGTATGAAGAAATCTCATGAATTTATATGTTCTACTAGTTTGGTCTTAGATGAAACATGTAAATAAATATATATATGATATATCATTTAATGACTATAGAAAATCAGAAGTTTTGTTTACACTGTTAGTTGACAGAGTGTCAATATTTAGTGTCAACAGAAAACAGTTGTGCCAATAGTACATTAAAGATAAACTTGAGTACTGGTAATGCGATTGCATTGTGAAAGAAAAGGTGTGGAATGGATCAGAAAAGTTGATCATATAGCATGTAAGTAATGGTGTGTTATGCAAGGTTCTAGAGTCATCAAAATCATCATAAATTTGGCAGAGTCTTCGTAAAGTAACAATCATTTACACAGATAAATGTATATGGGACAACACACATGGTGTCGGGGCTAGTACTACCCTGATTTCCTTATCTTTCTATGCTCATTACTCAGCCAGTATACATTTTCTTCCAAAATTGTTTGGCACATGACATTTATTTGTAATCTTGAACATTCAGTGTAAGTTTCGTTAGATTCTGTGAGAATTCATTTTCTTTTTTTACCAGAACTCAAGTTTATCTTTAACTGTCGTTTTTCAATTGTAGGTTGGGTTTGAAATATTTGAGAACACTGTAGTAGACAATCAATTTGATCTGTGCAATTTTTGCTTGCCTAAACATCAATGATAAATGTCAAATTTCAAAGAGATATGGAACCAAAAGGTAACCAGATCTTCTTCTTTTTGGGGGGAGGGGGGGGGGGGGGAGGGGGTGGAGGGGGTTATGGAGATATTGACTCCACTTTGTATACATCATTATGCTCTGTAATATTACTGATTATTATCAATGTCATCTGTTTCGAGCCAGAAGGGTGTCACCTCCGTGTTAAACTATATGACTTATAGTGTGTGAGTTTTATGAATTTAATAAATAAAGTTTACTTATTTATTGTATTCATATTGTATATCAGACAGGCCTACATGTAGTATTAGGAGATGGAAAGCCTTGATTGTCAGTCTCTTGGACAGATAGAGCCCCTAGCAAGCAATGAATCAAATAAAATTACAATTTTATTACCATTTACTACCAGCACTTCAAAATAATATATGTATTAATTGACAACAGGTCTATTTAACCCATTGAATACTACCTTACTGAATCCATGACATTTGCTCCGGCGACAATTGCTCCGCTGTAAATTTCATACACTAATCGAATGGCTAACTTCAACCCTGGATTCAACACTATACCCTACCCTAAACCTAACCCTAAACCTAACATAAAACCCTATTGAAACCCTAACCCTAACCCTACATCTTAGACGAAATAAAGCCCGGAGCAATTGTCGCAGGAGCAAATGTCGTGTCACCACCTTACTACCTTTCAAAGATAACCTGGACTTGAGTCTATGGAAAATGTATGTTAAACCAGAATCAAATTTCATCCAAATGGGTGAACAAGAGTGTCTTTCTATTTTTTTTAAATTGTAGGCCTTGAATGCTTACAGTATCAAGGTAAGAAATAGATTATAATCAGTTTGACTCATGTTTATTCTGTATTTACTCACGGTATTGTGATATACATGGAGGCTGGTTAAAACTGCAAGCAACACAATATGCTACTGTAATACATTAGTCAAATGTGAGGTGATATGGAAGGCATTATTAAATGTAAAATGGGAGTACATGTTATTACTGATGGAGGATAGGTGATACTTGGACAGTAGGGGGGGGGGGGGGTATATTCATTATTTTTCAGGGAAATTATGAATTTTCAAAGTTTAATGAAATCTTGATTTTTGAACTAAATTGTGCATATGGCTGTTCAGTTCATTTCCTTTAGCTTTCAACACTCGAGGCTGTATAAATACATATCAGAGACAGATGCTTATATACTTGATTAATAAATTGATTTAAATCAAAGCAATTCTTTTCCAAAATGTTTGAACTCTCCCTTTGTTCAGTTTAGCTAACTTTCCTTCATATTAATTCAACATTACATTACAGAATTACTTCAACTCAAAGTCCAATCACACAGTCGTAGCCTGCGCAGTTCCACAGATCAATTATTGTTTCAGATTCCCCATGGCAAAACTAAAGTAACTCTTGGGGACCGTGCTTTTGCTGTTGCTGTCCCCAAACTATGGAATAGCTTGCCAATAGAAATACGAAGCACTCCATCTCTCAATGTTTTTAAATCCAATTTAAAAACTTATTTGTTCAACTGAGAGATCTTATTTTGTAGAATTTAGTAAAAAGGAGCTCTTAACCAGCGCAGCTGAATATATTTTGTAAAAAAAAAAACTATATAAATTTATTATTATTATTATTATTATTATTATTATTATTATTATTAATAACATTCCTCAATCTAGTCATTTCATTACCCCCTCCCCCTCTCTCTCTCTTTGCTCTTTTCTTCTCCCAGCAAGTACTCTACTCCTGTCTCACAACTCCCTCATTGATTTCCTTCATTAAATCAAATACCACAAACAAATACTAAACAAACGACCAGGCTTGCAATATTTTTAATCAAAAATGTTTTAAGAGAAAAGCAGCAAAAGATAGCTTCTAATTAGCAAAGTTAAACGACACTATGACAACTAGAGTGAGATCCAAGCGAGCTCAAAACAAGTTCATAAGTTTGGATTCGTCATCAAAAGTGCAGTGAACTATGGAGCACATATATGTACGTGAAACATATAACATTATATACCTTATGGCCCTGCACAATCATTCTACATTATTACACTTCTTGTTTCATCAGATAGATTCATTTTTCATTTGACACAAAATAAACATTTTTTCTGTCCAACGGTGAGGCTTCAAAATTGCAGGATGAGAGAATTTATAAATAAATATCATACCATCATACATACCATCATAGATAACATCACAGCTCCTTTTGTTAAATAGTGCACAAATATAAGCATGTACATGTGTGTATTTAAATCCCCTAATTTAAATGTCTCAATGTAGTTCTTCATATACTTTGTCCACACTGAGAAAAGTAGTTTCCATCTTTACACTACACACAATCATGTACGCAAATTTAATTTTACGTTTTTTGTTTTGTTGTTTTCTTCTGTAATGGAGCAGTATCCAGTTGACCGAGTTAAACATCAATCCACAATGATTTCTTCTTTTTCTTTACCTGCAATACTGAATGGTTAATTTGTTTACTTTTCTTAGAATTCTTCCAGATGACTTGAATGTGTAATATTGTAAAATCAGAAAAATCGTATTCATGAATCTTGTACAAAATTTGCAAATCGTCAAATTAAAAAAACTATGGAAAGCTCCCTTGTGTTTAAAGCTTGTGAATGTCATCCGTTTCAGCAGCCACTAATACACGGGGCACACAAAACAAAAGGTAGTGTCAAAGCTTTCATCAATTCTTTATGATAATTAGTCCAGCAGAAGAAACAAACAACTTTCTCTGACAAACATCCAGCGACAAAATGTAATATTCCATTCGAGGGCGATTCCTTGCTATGTGTGACATACGACTTACATGTTCACACGTATGTCTTTTTCCCACCTATTTCATCAATAAATGACAACTCTTTGGAAATTAGCACTGAATAACGTTAGTGGTAACAGAAACAACATTAGTTAATCGTCATAATCAGAGGTTATTGGATAAAATAAATGGATAAAAGTCATGTTGTAGAGGGCACATTCTAAGGAATCGCCTATTACCATCAATATAAAAAAAACTCTATCCACTGTTTGGAATACAAAGCATACACTAAATTTGGAATACATCTGTTTTAAGATTTATGAATACAAAACGAGGAATACAAAGCATTGAAACATGATCTCTGCATAAAACACATACATTGTATATCCAAATAAATCTGAATTCTTTGCCACATCAGATATCTAGCAGTAATATAATTTATGTAAAACTTGTGAGCAATGAAAATGTCCATCATAATTGTCCATAATATGTCGACAAGTCAGCAGGCTCCTGTTTCATGTTGAGAGCCAGAGGATTGTAAACTACATGTATGCGTTAAAGGATATTAGTTAAAACCCTTCTGGCTCTAGAGAGACAATAACTGTTGCCTTTGTGTCATGTTTAGTTAATTTTTATAAAAAAATTACATTTTGAAGGTAACAAATTGACATAACAATGGCAAGAAGAAAATCAGCCTCTGAAACCCAAATACTGGAACACATAAGAAAGCAATGCTGCCTCACTTTTACAAAAGGAAGCGACTATTAAAATATGAGATAAAAAAATGACAACATCTACATGTACAAATAAATAATAATATGATAAGAAGAAAATATTGATTATCTATTCAGAAATTCCTGTCCATCTTTTACACTGTTTGAATGTCATGTGTTTGAAAATATTTGTAATTAGAATGAGAATATATGACAGTGTGAGATACATGTACTGTACATAATAAGTTGGTTTCTTCCCAAAGTAGAACAGAAGTTGAGATGAAACATGACTAACTACAAATTAACAATCTCTGACGTAAAAATATGAGTAAATAAAGTCTAAAGTCAGCCCATAGACACTTTTCACTTCATTATGCTTCATACGGAAAATGATATATAAAGATGAGTAATTGCTTCCAATATTGGCCATTAAGGTTGCCATTCATATTCATGTCTGCCAGTCATCAACTTTTGTAAATCAAATATGACAATTAACAAGACCACATTAGGAAGTGAAAGTTAGTTTCGGAAACTCAAGTACCACTCAAGTACCATGTCAATTGGCAAGATACAAAAGTCTTTTTTTACAAAATGACACAAGGCTTTGTCTTGTGAAACTAAATCATTTGCGAAACTGCAAGTACGTGACTGTTTAAGCTCACTCTATTGAAAGAAAAATGTCAGTACATTCACCGACAGTGAATTTTTTAGTCAAATGCCATCATTTATTTTTTGGTCTACATCCACAAGGTGAAATTCATTAAAGGCCCGCATCCCAGCTGTAGGTGAATCAAGGGGTTTGAATTCCTTGCCGTTTCTACAAATGCATATATGAGTAGTTGATCAAAGAATGGTGAAAAGGACATTTATTAAATGAGATGAATGATTTAGCTATAACAATACTTGATTTGCATTTTTTCCGGGGCTACAGCTCAGTTGACCAGACATCCTGGTCTAGATGGTCATCGGTCTTTAAGCTTCGGACAACTTTAAACTGAGGATTTGTAAGTCCAACAGCCTGCCAGACTAACATGTCTATCTCGTGAGCCATCAGTAGAATGGGACGTCTCCTATCACTTTATCTAAATTCAAAATAATCAATGCCATTGCCTGGAATAGCAAAATCTATTTCAGTTTTCAAATTCATTTACATCTTGTTTAAAATGTCCATAATACTGTTGAACCTGCTGAAGTCTTCATGATTGTGACAAACAAAATTGGAAATTGTATTTTCCTATTATCAAAAGAAATTACGTATTTTAGAGAGAGACTGTCATGTATTTTTGAAAAGGTTTGTGCATGTTGATTTGGAAAGGGAAGAACTTAAGTTTCATAATATTAAGCAAATGTGATATGATTTTGTTTCAGCCTTTATTTCCGTCCAAAACCATGACCCAATCCTTTTCCACCCTGCAATATCAAAAGAATAAACACAATAAAACCTGCAAGTAAACAAGGAAGAGTTCTCTTTGAACAACAGTCTACTTTCAGCAAACATAACGTTAAACAACAAACCCAAGTTCCCGATCTGATGAATGACAACTCATTAATATATATGTACATGTACATCACATTTCAAGGTTTCCAACTACATTTCAACAAGGTACTGCAACAACATTTCAGGAAATGAATTCATTCATTCATATTTTCAGAAGTCAGCAAAAAGAAAACAATAAATCAAGACTTGTAAATTTCAAGTCAATTTCACATTAAGTATTTCTTTCAAGTTTCATCGTCAGTAAGAGAAGCATATTAGTACAAGCCTTTTACAATAATATACAGAATTATATTAAAAACACAAATGACAAATAGAAGTGTTCAGTTGTAACATGAATGGGTGGTCAATTCGACATCAAGTTCATTTTATGAAATAAAACAGAAGATAAATAAATAAATAAAGAGAAAGATTTTTTTTTAAAATAAAATAATTCACCGATTCTAGACATGATTGAATCCACTTTTGTTGAGAGTAGAGAAACCCTTTGATTGTGGGGAGATTGACTCAACCATCAGCGTTTGTGACATACCATCACATATCTGCAGAGAGCCAGAAAGGTGTGAAGTCTATGACAGAGTGACAACATTCTGACTCTCACCTAGTCCAGAATCTGGCCGATTTGATTTTAAATACCTTCCACCAAGGCAATGCAATCGCCCCCGACTTACTCACTGCCAGCTGAAGATGGCATGATCCTTGAATTAGGATGCCCGGCGTGTTTGCTGATAACGCCATCTTCGGCGGCTTGCAGCAAGTGTTGGGAACATTATACAGGTAAAATATAATAACCGACCAGATTCCGGACTAGCTGTCATCCACAGACGGGGAGCGGTATGTTGCACAAGTCAATCACAAACGCACACACACACATACACACACAATATTAGGTCAATATCCACAACTATCACATCTCAAATGGTGAATAAAATAATGAATACAAATACATTTCTAGAATACAGATAGAGTGTCAGTGAGGCAGTTATCTGAACCATGAATTGCACAAAAAATACAAAACATGGGTCATATCTGTCTGTCTTGTTTTTTTTTTTGCTTGACATTTTGTGACCCTTTGCTGTAGTTAAAGCATAATGAAAAGCCAGAGTACTGTCCCTTCTCAATACTAAACCTGAACCTTCATCTAATCACAGAAATTTCATCAGAGTGATCACAGTTTTAATTTTTTTCACAAAAAAGCTATTATTTACTTATGAAATGGAAAGTTGAAATATGAAGGGCATTCTTGTTTTTATTTCTATTTCATTTGCAATGCTCTCTTTTCAATAACTGAATTCTTTTTGACTTTCCGAATCCAAATCATTCTTCACTACAAAAATCAAATTACTTGTATATGGCGAGACATTTTATTTTCTCCTTGTCAGATTAAAACAAAAAGAAAGAAATATCAAATATCTACAATAAGTACAAACAGGTAGGGAAGGGGATTACAAAACATTTTTTTTGTACGGGAAATTGAAATGTATCAGAATATCATTTCCCTTGGCATGTTTTTTGTTCACGCGTATGTATTCAATTAATAAATTGAGAGTTTGAAATATGATGATGTAATATAACCCTAAAAATACTTCAACCACTAAAGAAATCACAAATTTTTGTTTATTCAATCTGAAATATATGTACAAATAAGTTAGAAAAATGCACATCAAATGCAAAAAGGAAATCAGTCTTTCAACATGTACATATGATTTATATAACGTATATAAAATTGCAATAAATAAATACAAGGAATAAATGGCTTGTCACCAAAATCCAAGATAAAGCCATCAATATTGAACAAAATGTTACAAATTTTAATCTTTCTACAGCAAATATTTCAAATTCTGTTATCTGTTGGTAAAAACATGTCATGTCATCTCACTACAGAGTCTCAGCAAAAATTGGCTACTTCGCGATCTAACTAAAGAGCCTCAACTCCAGATGGTACAAGTATGTGAATTTAACAATGTCACAATAGCTTGCCCAGTGAAAACAAAAAGGTCAAAGGTGGTTTTATCATGGTGTTATGGTGACAGGCCATCAAAGGTCAAGGGTCAGAGAGGTCAACCGTTATAAGCAGATGTCTGTCTGGGTGCAGCCCGTGGAGGGTGGGGCCAGGAACACCTTTCCATTCTCGCAGATGCAGAGTTCAAACACGCCTGCTGATGAGGAAGAGGAGGAGCTGGCATCAGCTACAGGGAGGTTCCTCATTTCTAGACTCTCTGATTGAAGCATTATCTGTCAAAGAGATCACAACACACATTTTTTCAAAGGGCTATCTCTATGATTAGTGTTTTATCTGTAATGATATCAAAGACATGGATACATTTAACAACTAAATTATTCATACCCTTACCAAGTTTGTTAAGTGTGACAAAATTGATTTGTTTCGATTTATGTTTCTTGAGAATGTGACATATCAAAGCTTACATCTAAACGTATTCAACAATTTTTTTTTTCTTACACATCACTTTGTAATATCTCCCTTGGACAGCAAGTTTTTACTTTTTACTTCTTAAAGTGACTCAGTAACATTGTTATAGGTTGATGAAAAACTGTGTAATTTTTGTATGAAATGTTACTTATTATATTCCTTCTACTGTACTAACCCTCTAACATGCAAAAAATCCTGAAAAATTCTCAAACCACAAAGAAAATTATGGTTTTCTTGGAAGGCGTCTAACAGTAAAATCTCCCAACCATTTTTTGAATTTTCCCAACCGTTTTTCCATGAAAATAAGACGTAAGACAGGTTTTTAAAAATCTTTCAACACTTAAATGTAAGGAATGGTATATAGAGCCAATTCAATGCTTTGTGATGATTTACATTCACCTAGATTGTAATTAAGTTGTAATAATATAGTTTGGAGAATTAAGGAATCGATCAGATCAGATCATTATAATGGTCTATTTTCTTTCAAACTTTCAGATTATCTTTTTGTACATCTAATATTGAAGTAACTACCTTAGCACCATTTTCTCTCATCTGAACAATGTTATTAAGTCCCTTTAATGATAGGATTACTCCACACAACAGGTACTGACCCTTCCATTTGTGGCTCTGAGTTTTAAATCCGCTAGGCACGATGCTGAGAGGTCACCTGACACGCCTCGTAGAAACATGCGTTCTCCAGCTTGCATGTGGATACTACTCGTTAATGCTTCTACACTGCAATGTGAAAACAAATCAGATAACCGTGTTGAAGCTAATGCAAAGCATTACAAATAAAAAGTGAATGAAAGGGGGAAAGGAAGTATACAAATAATGGCCGATGGCAGTTTGCCCGCAAACTCTACTAGAAACATTTAGGGTGTTATTTGGAGAATCACCGGACATATTCACTATAGCCAAGTCTAACCTGGTTGGATAGTACACATGTGCTGTTTTGCATAAATTCTAGACACCATCTTTTGAATAATGTAATCATTTAAAAAGTAACTTTATCAATTCCATGAAATCATCTTAAATTTGTTTTGGGAGAATGGTTTTGTGCTTGGTGATCTTTCTTGGTTCTTGAACTTACTCTAAGCTTTGGCCTGATGGTGCTGTTACTCTTGGTGTTTCTACAGGACCTTCAAATATAGTTCCCTCAGCACCTGCACAAATAAAATAATTATGATAATAATTAGATCAATCTAATATATTAAGGCACTGTCATGAAAACAAAACTCTCAACAGACACACAATACAAAAACTATTCCAAAGCAAATGCCTCTTCAAGAAAACTTTGAAGTCGCCAACAGATAAAACAACACATCTTAATAATAAATACAAACACTAGAAAGTTAATTTGTGTCCTATCTAAAATCCAGAAAAGGACTAGATACTTGAAATTATATTTTTGTGTTATAATCTCTGAGGTAAAAGTAAGGGATTGATATTTTAAGAATGCTTCATGAAAACAATGACCACAAATGTCAGAGTAAATCATGAAACCAGTAAACTCCAAATCATCCAACCAACTCACATACCCACATTATGAAGGTTATTTTTTTTTACATTTTTAAAATTGTAAACATGTGAATAATTTATTTGTCCCTATTTATCTTTATTAAGAATGTGACATAAATACAACAAAAAAAAATCTACAAAAAAAAGTATTCAATTAAGGCCCTAATTCAACCAGTCCACCTTTCATTCTTGAGTTATGAAAAACACAAAAAAATTTAATTTTACAATGGGTAAAGCTATGGTCACAAATCTGAGCAGCGACCGACCGATCAGTAGCCTGCTCGGTCACTGCTGGAATGTAGGCATCGCCCAGCAATTAGGTCGCTGCCTGGGCGGCGACCGCCCAGGCACGAGCGTATTTTGGGCGGCGAGTGAAAAGTGAGCAGGCGCCGCCCAAATTTTAACTCCGTGCTAAAACTTTAGTGGCGACCGAGCGATGCCCTAAAAACAAGCGGTGCCTGGGCGGCCGCCGCTCGGTGGCCGGGCAGCCGCCGGGCAGAATTGGTTAAAAACTCGCTGCTCGACCGCCGAGCAGGCTACTTTTGGGTAATGTGACCATAGCATTAGTTGGGTTTTAGTTGCTAACTATAAGTAGAAAACAATATTTTTGTTTCTTTTACTGTTATTATGGATTTTGCATATCTTCCTTGCTTTTCAAAAAATTGAATAATACTAAATTTCTGTAACAGAGTACCTTCTTTATATTTTAGTTTTGTATATATCACATTTGATCATTCTAACAAATCAAATAGCCTAATAGACTCAATTGCCCTTACCTGTGAATGTTAATTTATCTGTTCCAATTTTAACTTCTTCTGCATCTGCATAGAATACCATGTTATCTTGGGTGTCGTATATAACAAATCTCTCACTGTGAGATGTTAATGTTTTATCACCTGCAACAGGGAAAGAAAAAGATACAAAGGATTATGAATATATATCAAAGTTATACAGTAGTACAATACCTATATCATTAGGCATGTCCCTCTAATGACACATAGGTTTTACCAACCATCATGATAGATGTTATCATGGGTCCAGACATGGTTAGCACTTGTGTTGTTTCTAAATTAAAACCTTCCTTTCAATAGCAAATCATCAATATACACTGTAATACTTATCCCAATGTTGTTATTATTGAAGTGTTCTGGGATACCATTTACTAAATCATTTAGTTTTACTATACAGCCAGAATAAGATCATGCCCCACATGTGTTCTATAAAATATGAAGCCTAAAACAGAGAGATTACAAAGCCTGGAATCAGGGCAAGAGGAATAACCTGAAAACAGGCATCTATGTATATTAGCTGGATCCCACTTCAAAATAACAGACTGCTGATCTAAAGGTGGAGTCCCCCCTGATATTAAGTTGGTTTTTAATTTAATAGAAGCAGAAAATGAGAGGAACAGGTCAGTGGAAGTTTGAGCAAAATCTGATTACACATAAGAAAGTTATACATTTTTAAAGTTGTCATCAGTGAAACACAAATCGGTAACACTGCGATGTATCTTGTGAGACCCTCTCCAATGTATGATCGAAAATTTACTTTAGGGAAAACAGATATTTCTGTTTTTTTGTTAGAACAGAGCAAATGGGAGGGAACCTGATTAAACTCACCTACTACAAATCTGCCTGTTACATTTGTAAGTCCATTCCGAGCATTGATACTCACATTGTGCCCTGACTGGAAGACCAATGGTTTATTCTGGATTTGGCAACAACAAAAAAGAAGTAAAAAGAAGTAAAAACAGAGAGGGAAAAGAAAACAGGAGTAAAGAGAGAGTGAGAGAGGGGGGGGGGGGGGGGGGGGGTAGAAGGAAAATGAGTGATGGATGGAGACAGAGAGAAAGAAAAGAGCATAATGGAAAATGTTATTTGTACTGTGTGAATTAATGTAAATTGCATGAATATCATCTGCAAAGTCTCATTAACTGAAACCAATCTAACAACAGAATTTCCTTCATTAAAGTTCTCACAATATCACAGTGACAAAAGTTTCAAGAAAAAATAAAATATGGAGTGATAATTACATGTCCATTACTTCTAATGCTTCCTAAACAATAACGCAGTTACAAAAATTGACAGAATTTTTTATTTTTAGAATGCTTTCATCCAAACATTCTGTGTCATCACAGCTGACAGGCATTGTATGATAAATTAAGAAATGATTACAAGGATGAGCCACTTACCTTAAAAGATGTAATTTGTGCAGTATAAAAAGCCTTGAGGAATTCTACAGTACCTTCTAGACGAATACCATCTTTGGCTATCTTGAATTTACCCATGCCAATCTGTTTAATACAGAAAGAGAAAACAAAATATGTTAAAAATTAATCAAATCTTCTTATGCAAATTACTCTTTCTGTACAATTGATGTATGCACACTTATTTATATAAAGCATGTGGTTGTAATGAAACAAGGCAAAGTTTAGAGAAATATATGAAACCATAGTATAACACACTTCTTTTCCATCTTCCTTGAAAACAACTATTTATCATAACTTAAGGCATCACATACATTTCTCACTCATAATATCAATATTTAAAATGAAACGGACTAAATATTCTGCTTATATCCCTAGTAAAGTAAAAAGTAAAATTTTTCCTTTTAGCAGTCAGGTATCTCTTGAGCCAAAGAAAAATGATTGAAATCAATCTACTTCTCCTAATCCCCACAGGCAGATCAAAAGAGAAATGAGAAATGAGAAATGTACATGAAAGAGGATGACAGACAGCCATACAAGATAGGTGACAGAGATATAGATGTGGGGGGGGGGGGGGAGAGAACTGATAAAAAAGGGAGAAACATATTGCATTTAAGCAAGAGAGGGATAGAGGGAGAGAGGGAGAGAGGGAAAGAGGGAGTGTGTGTGTGAGAGAGAGAGAGAGAGAGAGAGAGAGAGAGAGAGAGAGAGAGAGAGAGAGAGAGGGGAGCGAGAGAGAGACAGGGAGAGAGAGAGAGAGAGAGAGAGAGAGAGGGGGGAGAGCAAGAGAGAGAGAGAGAGAGAGAGGAGAGCAAGAGAGAGAGAGAGGGGGGGGGGAGAGCAAGAGAGAGAGTGGGAGACGGGACATTGACTAATAGAGAGGAGAGAGAGAAGAACAGAAGAAGGAGAGAGAAGAAGGAAGAGGAAAGGAGAGGGAAGAGGAAAGGAGAGGGGAAGAAAGGAGAGGGAAGAGGGGGAGATAACAACATGTTTATGGAAGAAGCATACAGGAGCAGGAGGAAGTATAGAAGGGGGATTGAACAGGAAATTTGTTCTTTCCCCCCATCACACAAACAAAACTCCCTAAGCTGACAGTCATGGTGATGAATCGCCCCTGGTTCAACGATCCTCTCTACAATCCTCTCTAAGATTCAATTTCATGAGATCTGTCATAGCTCCTCTTGTACCAATCATTTATCGAGGAAAAAATCTATGACTGCCCTGCTAATTTGCACTCTAAATGCGCATGATGTGGAATTGCTGATGAGCTAGATAATCTACTAAATTATTCATAAAAATGGTATCCTAGTTTTCTTTACTTTTGTAAGGTAAAATCTTGAAATCTTTCTCTCTTGATCTAGAATAATTTTGGATCAGATAGATGATGTATCAAAATATTCATGAAACAAGATCTTATTTTTCTTTGCTGCTTGCTGTGAAAAATAATGTGAAAATACAATAATTTTGAAGGTGAAGCATAATTTTGTTGGTTCTTTTTTTGTGGACATCCTCTCCTGAAGATCTCCAGGTTTTTCAGCCTCTCACGTAGTACATACATTTATGCCACCCTGATAAAAGAACCTATTCATTACTGCATAAGTATAGATCTTTTACAGGGTCATTTTTCGAAAGATTGATTATTCTAATACATAAAATAGAGTATTTTTGTATCCTACTGGCTCAATAGTTATCACATGACAATCAACAAAGCTTGTCCGAGGCTTGCTGACATAGCAACAAGTACTGTTTGCAGACTGGATTCCAAGTATTGCAGTCCATTCATTAATAACAGGTTCGTGAAATAACTCGTCCCTAGGTCCCCTGGAAAGAAACATCCATAAATTTGAATATGTAAGTATAAAAACGGTCTACTGGCAGCTTACGAGTGAGAAGTCTAGGACCCTTAGTATCCAGACCGTCAGGGCCAGGTTGACTGTGATGACAGCCATCAGGACCAGGACCAGCAGGTAGAGACATCGCTTCCTCCAGCCGTAGATCCCCACCTTGTACACTATCTCCGGCTCTCTGTGGTTACTGCCATGGTGGTGGTGGTGGTGGTGCTGACGTAACGAACCCTGTGAGTAGCTCGGGTAGCTTCCCCCATCACCCCGATTCATGGTGGCTGGGTGGAGCCTAGACGAGACAGACTAGATGGCTGGTACCTGCAGAGGGGTAGAAAGTGGAGTGTAGAATGGTCAGATATAAAGATATATTTCATTTGGATTTAGGAAGAAATGAGATGTGACGGTAACAGGAGTCACAAGTATCATTTACTTCTACAATTATATGTAATTTATGAAGTAGTAGTGTTGGCAGTCTAAGTAGTATAATTAGTAAGAAGAGCAACTGACAGAGCGTTGGTGATGGTGGTGGTGGTGGTGATTATGTTTATGAAAGTGGTTGTGGTTATGGTGGTGATGGTAATGATGGTGGTAGTGGTGGTGACATTGGTGGTGGTGGTGATTATGAATATGAAAGTGATTGTGCCTGCAGCAGCACAAGAAATATCCAGGACAAGTGAGTCAGTAATCGCACAAGCATAAAATGATCAAAATTCAATGATGATATGAGCAGATGTAAACAAGAAAAAATGTGATAACAAAAAAGTAATGCATGAACATCAGATTTAGTGTGATTCTAGGAAAAGTATCCAGAACAAAAAATATTGCTGTAAATATCAATTCATAAATAATAAAATACTGCTCGTTTAAAAAAAAATCTTTTCTGGTATCAAAATATATGTTTAATGACTATGCAACTTGGTGTACAGCCAGTGAGCTAAATTTTTGTCCTTGTATATTTGTACATATCAAATGATGGTGTATCCATTTTCCGTCTTACACATTGCATTATGGAGCATACGTTATGGAAGACGTAATACATTCACTATTCCTCATAATTCAGGATCAAAATGTTTCAAATAACAGAATTCTGTCATGAGATCAAGATACAGGCCCATATGCATAGCAAACGATCTCTGCATCCATTTCAGACAGTTCTACATGTACTGTACGGAGCCCTGCTGTGGCTGCATATGAATACGATGCAGATGCACATCCCCAAGCATCCAACTGTTCGATCATCACAGTTCTCATTGTATCACCGTTGCTGTATAATCAACACCTTGGATAATACATGCAGAGCTATTTAATACACACACTTGGTGTAAAAGGCTACTTGTAGCGCTATGGAGTGTGAGAATTGTTTGTTGGTTTATCTCACCGGTACTGTCTTCTCTTTAATCAAATTTATGTGCACTTGTTACAGAGTTACAGGGTGTAGGGCAGATACACATATTTGAACGTGTAGATAATTTATCACCAGTAAATCTACTTGCATTTGCTAAACATGCAATTATCGAATAGAAGTGAAAGAATGCAAAGCCAAATTTCAACAATATTATCAAAATAGATTTGTCTCTCAATTTAATTAGGGAAATCTTGAGTTATGGCAATGACAGAAAATAAAAAATGCAATCAGCAACAAAAAATAAAAATTCCACAAGAAAGCAAATAAATACTGATTGATAACTTATCACCAAAGAAAGATTTATAATAAAATTGAGTCAGTTGACTGGACTACTAGCTGAGCAATAGATCATGTACATAATGTAGTTTCAGTGAATTTTAATTCTTACAATTTGTTAACAAATGTTTTTTGAGTGTTCTTTACTTGTTTGTTTGTTTACATTTTGCTGATTGAGATAACTGACCTACAGCATGATAACTTATGACTAGTACCCTACACAGGTTTTTCTCCACAAAAAAATCCATCAAAAAATCAAGGTCTTCTATAGTGATATCCATTTTGCTTAAAATTACCCGTTTTTTATCATTTTTTGAAGCATGTAATGTAAATATCAAGATTATTTTTTGAAAAAATACTTTTTCCATCATATCTACCGATAGGTTGAAATGCCTGATAGTACCAGTATATAATATTCCCCTTACTAGCAAGTAGCAACCCGTCAATTTCTATCCATCTCCTACACTGTCTGCACACAGATGTAATGTAACATATCCCTTTCCTTACCAAGCGTAATGCATGGACAACTCGGATGACTCAGACAAATTGAGATTAAAATGAGTCTGTTAATTACTATTATGCAGCTGGGGTGCATCGTCAATGGACGCCGGCAAAGAGCATAACCTTCAGAGAGTCCGCTCATAATTGTTAAATTGATAACCAGGTGTCCAATTTGTGAGAGATGAACAAAAGTGTGGACAAAACCATGGGAATATACCCCTTATATAGTTCTATATTATGGTGTACTTTGTGAAAATGAATGTGCAGTAACATAATACATTTAAAGCTATGATAGAATTGCTATTCATGAGGTAGTCCTGTTACTTTACAAAAATGCTAAATAATGTCTTTTCATTTCTCTCATGATGTACTTTGAGCTAGAATTTTTCTTTCTGAAAGTGAATGACTGCAAAAAATGAACTATATACATGTAGCAATGTTACCACCACTGCACATGAAATTCTAGCAAATTCAAGAGTAGAAATTGCCTATGCCCGATTGTAAAAACTTTTAATGACCTTAAAAGTGATGGCAAGGAATGATCATTTTCTGCATTAAATTTACTATAGAGGAATTCTTTCAAGTGATTATTAACTTAATCTCTAAAGTAGAATTTAGGAATATAAAATAGTCTCTTTTAAAACTTGGGTATCAACAAAAACTTTGTGTTCCCATTAAGATTCTTTCAAACTGAAAGTTCATGAGCTAACTTTCTTCAATCTTAAATACACCTTACAACAAGAGCTGACCTACATGTAGATGTCAGAGGACGCCTTGAGACAAGATAATTTCCCATGTCCTAACAAACAAGGAATACATCATGATGCGGATATCTACCCTTCTTCAAAGATCGCTACATGGATAATCCTCGACTATAATTAGACCAGTGAGAAGAGCCACTCTGAGATTGTAAATCTCCAACTACAACCATCCTAAGACTCCTGAAAGAAATCTTTGTCTGTCTGTCTGTCTGTCTCTGTCTCTCTGTCTCTCTCTCTCTCTCTCTGAGTATCTTTACTGTAAAAACAAAGCTATTTTTATCCATAGAATGTTCATGAATTAAAAATGTTATGCCATAATTGACATAACAGTAAACAGTTGCAATTCATGACTTTCTTAATCGCCTGACAGCAAAAAATGGTTTGCTGCTAGGGCAAACAATATCTAGCTCTGCGATAAACAACTCTAAAAATAATTGAACTTTCAAGTGATTCTTCTTTTTTTCCTCCACAATAACAAGTTTTAAATGATTTTATGTTATTGTTTTTTTTCTCTACAATTGAACTCCTTGGTTCAACGAGGGCTAAACAACATGTCCCTGGTAACACAAGAGTTACATACAGGTATCAGATAAGATCTTTCTGTCTTAATGCACCAGGGGCTCATTTTCAAATGTAAAAGGGGCACGTGGGGATCATTTCAGTCAATTAGGGGAGGGAGGGGGAGGGAGAGGGAATAAAACTATCCTGAACCATATGTGTTATATCCCAATATATGAACAGTATGATGAGGGGGAAGAAGAGAAATGTACATGAACAGGGCCCGAACGAACTCCAATACCTCACCGATCCTGCACCGGGGGGGGATGACGTGAAGAAGATGATACAAGCCCGCATCCAGCAAGCCTGATGGCTATGTGAAGATGGATGGATGTACACAATGGGCTCAGTGAATGTTTACACAGGAACGTTCAATGTGGTCTGTTTGCCGTACGGTCGGCCGGGTCAATGGATAGATTGGATGAGAATATATCCCCGGATTGTATGGTATACCTTTCACGCAACAGTTCACCCTGTGTCAACACAGATCGGCTGCTTCATTACGAAAGTGTTTTCACCTCTCAAAACTCAATTTTCATTCCAATGCACTATAATTTCCTCATATGATGTAGCTATTATTTGGCCGAGTCATACAACTTGACTTAATAAAACATTTTACAATAATTCAATGGGGAAAAAATGTAGCAAGACTACCAAAAAAGGATTATACTTATTTTATGTTCAATTTGTTAACATAAAATGTTTTTGTTTGATAGTTATAAGGAAATTCCTTTTTATTTGAAACAAAAAGGATGACATGACTACATAATAAGCGCATTAAAAATAGACTCCATACAGAAACCAATATTTTTCATAGGCCAAGGTGTCATTTAAACTCACCCAACGATTAATGATTCATGAATACCTTATGAAGCAACATGTACAAGTACACATGTACTACTTTAATAGCTTAATAGAGCAATTACAGACTTGCGAGATGTAAACATGCCTATTTGAGCAAATGGTGTGAGCATTTCCTTGCGTTATTCATTAACCCACTCATTTCTTTTTAAGGAGCACTTCTTTCATAAACTGCATACGCACGTCTGACTAAAACATTTCCAATGTAAAAATAATACTAATAAATCATGACTATTAACTTCTCCCAGGCTGTTAGCATAATTTCCAGCAACCGGCAGTTGCACATAAACAGACGCATACCAAATGAGCACACACTCGATATATAGCAGTCCAATATAAATACTACACTTTCATTCTCCAGTGCCGGCACTCATCTCTCTGTTAAAAGCAATCTAAATGGAGCAGTGCCTATCGCTTGTTTACAGTGAGCATCGGTCATATATCAACTTTTGAGGGATATAGTGGGCACGGCGAAGGAAGAATTCTCTTATAAATACACATACACATACTTATTTAGCACTCAAAATAGTTTTTACTACTGCAGAGGAGGTGCAAGCATTGTACCACTTTTACTACAAAATAAGTATACCACTGATAAAATGTTGTAAAGTACCGGTTTACCAACTCCTTTATCTAAAGTAGATATAAAACAACTGCTTTTCAAATTTGCTGTCCAAATCAATGTAATGGGTCTTCTCTTGAATGAAAAAACATTGAATTCCAACTCTCAAAAACTATGACTGGTTTCAACAAAAATAAAAAAATGAATGATTTAAATTCCTATTAATATTGTGCATACTAAATCTCTCATCTCCCTCTATGAGAAAAATACACACACAAAAACCATCAGGATTCCATTTTTGTTTAAATATTATAAAAAGGCTAATATTAAAAACAAGCTGCACTGAATGTTCATAAACAAGGTTTTGTTTTTGATTGTGTGTGTATTTTTTGTT